ACGACAGCATCCAGCATGTTGGGTGTTCATTCGGTTATTCACACTTTGTGCATAAAATGGCGTTTTCACACAACACTTGCCACATTTTTCCTACAGACCTTGAGACATGAGGTGGGCTGGCTTTCAATGCACAGCTGTCATCGAGATGCAAGTGCGACGTAATTGTACGTTTCGGTGCCAGGTTTGGAACTAACATCCTTTAAGCAAAAGTCCGGTTGCTTAATTAGTCGTGGAATATAAACAGAGGTGCACATAAACACCGCCGGAGCAGCGACAGTCGATTTAGTTCACTTGGCATTCGCTACCTTAGTAGTTTAGTCTGTAGAAGTGGGTTTTCATGCTGTCATGCTGCTAGAAGTAAAGTAAATCTGGATCAGTTACAGTGTCCAGGCTGAATGAGAAGATGCAACGGAGCAAGACTGCTCAATTTGAAGTCTTCTGCAATTGTGAAAGTATCCTTAACCAATCTGTTGTTTGCCACGCAACAGATGGTGATCTACAGGAATAACATTCGAAAACCAACTTCAACTGACCAACAGATTACAAATTAGGTGGGCATAGGGACTAAAATTATGGACATTTCCCATTCTATTTGACTTGCAAATTAAAACCTCGCTAACAGTATGCAGTCTACTGGAACACACATGTGAGGAGGAGGGATGCCTTAGCAGGAATGGCAACGAGATCCTGAAGGAGGTCTGTGAGGACGTCGCACAGTTATGCAAGACGATAATCCCATTCAGTGCGCACTAGTTTGTTGAACGTCCATTCCCCTGGTTTCCGGCCCGCATTGAATTAGGCGTTGCCGGAGGATTGAGTGCTCACTACGCGTATTTGATACGGTTACTGGTCGATCTGACCACGGAATTCGTGCTATTTTATTTGCCTTGGTAGTAAAAAAGGCACCAACACAAAACTGGAGAAACTAAGTGGGCCTCATTTAAAAGTGGACTAAACTAAAATGTCACTGTTTCGGCAGTGTTTATTCCCACCCATGTTTATATTCTCCGAAGCATTAATTAAACAAACTTTGTCCTGAAGGCTGCCAGTTCCAACCTTGGTCACATCCGCATCTGGATGAAAGTTATGTGTTGAAAGTCAGTCCACCTCAGGTCTCAAATTCCGTGGCACAAATGTGACAAGTATTACAAAGAGGCGCCCTTTTATGCTCAGTGTAATTAACCGAATGGACAGGTAAGCTGCTGGGTGCAGTCATTATTAAGAAAGATGCATTGTCCGTGACTACGCCACTTCTGACGGTGAGTTTACTGTGCCGTGGGTAACTGTTTGTCAACCGTGTGTTCACATCGTCCTTAGCAGGCCAAATCACCAGTGCAGCATGTCATCATGGGTCTTTCTATTCCAGACCTAACGAAGGTTAGAGCAGGTTGGTGGCTATAAAACAGCACAAATGTTCTGTTGCATGCTGTCTCCTTCTGCAAAACGTTTCTTCCTCTCACTCCAAATGCTTTGTTACAAACCCTTCATAGACATAAGATTACAATATTGTTGGTAACTGAAATCGGTGTTACGATCCTATGAGTCGTGGAACAGCCTCCGGGGAATTGTGGTTCCACCTTTAGTCGTGGGTAAATGCGCAAGCGGTCGGCATTGCTTGAATGGGTGTTCGCATCATCTAGTGGAATGTATGCACACAATTCCACGGGGACAGTACCCCGACGTTTTGTGCCACAACTGCTTGATTCTCGCCTCTCCATTCGTTTTGACGACAGCTTTAGACGATCTGAAGAGTGCCAGATCGCATTCAAACGGGTAGACGTCTGCTTTCGCCAAATTGGAGAGTGTGACGTCACATTTAAACAGGTACCACTCATCACATACCTCGGTGGATTGGCGCCTCTGAACTACTTACCCTCGCGATGAATTGCTAAGACGTTTTCTCTTGAGAGTCCAATACTTTGACTCACCTTTGTTTCTCGCGTCGTGTGCAGACAGATGTTTGATCCACTTTAAGGAAGGCTCTCTCCCACTGCAACATAAGTAGGCGGTTAAGTAAACGGGAGCTGTACTTCCGGCCGCGTCTAGACATCACAGTGATTCAATATTTCATTGCTGAGTCATCCTCCTTGTTTGACCTTAGACGTGGGAATGACCCCAGGCGACTCCGACAGTGTGTTGATGCTAAACTCACTTTAAGCTGGCCATATGAGCGCGTTGTGGGTCACTTGTCTTGGATGAATGGCCTCCTGTCAGACGCACAATTTATGTCCACCTCCCCACGAAAATCGATTACCGAATGCCAGTTGGGAGGTGCAAATGCAGCATTCGGTTGGCATCCTCTTGAGTGGGTGGATTTATGGGTGATGGTGGCTTAACTAGGTGTCAAACTACTCCCCCTTCCATATCGGTGATGATACTAGCCGAAAGTGGTCCTTCTGACGAACCAATCACTCACAGTGTCGACTAACACCTGAATGACCGACCGTCAATCCATTTATTCATGCATGGGAAGGTGTTTCCTTCCACCATGCAACCAAATGATTTTTTCTTCAGGATACCCTGTTTGACTGGTTGTGGCTGGAGAATGGGCTCACCTCCACACCCACCTCGCTTCTGGCATGCAAGTGTACGAAAACCAATGTTTGTGTCTCAATCCCCTTACTGGTTTCCCGCTTCTAGGTTAGTTCACGAAACATCGCTCCATCTTGATGGTGAAGAATGGCTCCCCAGATGACAATGCCATGTCCAATGCACCCTTTGCGAAGTAACTGCCAACACCTCGATGCTGTGCAGTGCTGAAGGAGTTCATTTTACACATCCATAGAGTTCCACACCTTCTACCAATGGGCGCGCCTCCTTCACAATCAACTTTAGCCATAGGACAGTAGCAACAGCGGCGTCCAGTAATTGCATTGATGCACTAAAAACGGGGCAAACGTGGAAGAATTTAAACTTGGTGGTTAGAATGCCTTGTTCGTTTCAAAAGCAACAGCAGTAGTTATTAGACTGCGATGCAAGTCCACTTAAGTTGAAGAAGAGGAGATTATGCATTAGTGAATAGATCTGGACGCACCCTTGTCGACGTTCGAGATGGTTGCCCAGAAGATCTTAAGACAATAAACGCTTCCGTTTTGAATTCTGGCTAAATGCAGTCAGCGGAATATTCGCACCTTGAAGCCTTTGCGATATTGTAGAACATTTACTAGGCAAGTTACGTGGACCAATGCCTGGAAAAGTAGTTATGGTGATTTTATGGGAAACTGGGTTACACAGATTGGTATGTTTTATAACCCGGACAATTGCACACTAAGCTGGAACTAGAACACGCTTAAGACTTTGTTTTATGGCGGATAGGAGCTTTTCGCCAAACATTAGTGCGAGAATGAGAGTGGGGTTCTAGATGGAGCTTTGGGTTTAACCGAGAGGTTTGGAGCCGGGCGTGTACTGCCCTGCACACATCCCTTCAGCCACACCCAATAGCGCAGCCTATGAAGGGGATGTAAACACACAAACAAATCATTCAGGAGGTTCGACCGAGAATTCCTTCTTGAAAAACAAGTCTCGAACACTTTAGCAGCCGACACTCTGACTACCCTAGTCTAGGAACCTATTTCGCTCTGTCTCGCATTAGCCTCTTCTAAATGGCAGTTACTTTTGAAACAACAAAACGACTGTTAAGTGTTTTGATTCGAACAGGTAAATTAACTCCTTTTTTGAGGGAAACAGGAGGTGTTGTCTTCCGCTGTTGGGATTTAAAAGTCACCCTTCTTTGAAAAAATGCTGCGCGATCATTACGAGCCCTCATTGGGCCTGCCGGTGGTGGCTGTAGTAAAGGTAAATGGGACAACAACTGACTGGACACGTTTCGATGTTCTGCCAAATGGACAATCACTTCAGTACGACAGGCCATCCAGTGCTCCCTGACGTGAATCGAATTTTTATGCTCGATTGAGAGCCACTTCCTCATCCCATTGAAGAACCATGCATAGTTAACGCGTAACCCAACATCACAGCCTGGTTAAGTATGAAGTGCCTCATTCACAGTCGCCGCCATTGTGGAAGTCATTTCTTCCCTAAGAACCATGCGCCATCAATAAATTGAATGAACCCTGTGATAAATCGGACTGCTACTAGGTGCAAATTTCGTCTGCCAATTATATGATTTGGAGCTTCTATGACTCAATTGCCTGGGCCCTATCGTGGCCTTCAACAAGATAGGTGAGAAATAAGGACTTTAGAGCGGATGCTTTTGCTGATCGACGTAGTGAGTGTGCAGAGGTACGATCAACGTATTATGTGCATAGTAGTTATTAGACCAAAAACTGCCGTAGGCATAGTCTGCGTCTAGGTTGTGTTTGGGTCATTTCAGTTACTACACGATGACCTTGGAATGGTTATCGGCGGTTAGAGTACGCCTCTGGTAAATATGGACCAATCAGACAGGCCTGAGGGTGACTACGACTCTCTAGAATGTTCGAAAATCAGGCATCAATTTGAACTTCTAGAAAGTCAGACATACACGCAGATCTGGGATCCCAGACCTCTCCAGGAATATCTTTTGAGTAAAATATACAACTTTTAACATCAACCCTTCCAGACTAATTATTGTGCGCTGTGAAAAGCCTCGCATTAACACAATCATTTTGAAGCACCTCACCCCACCATGTGGGTAGAGAAGCCATCGCCCGTCATCACAGACCGTCCATTATCACGGATGGCCCCCTTTAGCGTTCTCATTAGACTAGTCCCTTCGGAACTCTGTAATTACTCGACCCTCCGCACTTACATCGTAGGGCGTACAAAAACGACCAACGGATAGTGATAGAAATCAGACCTTACAAAAGAGGCGGACCTGAATAGGGTTCGCTCCATTAACGAAACCAAATTCATCAAAGTCAGATAACAGAAGTCATATCGGGAATGCGTTATTATTACTATTATTATCACCAATAGGGATCACTAGGAATGCATTGGAGCATTAGAAAAGGTAGAGGAAAATATACGATTGACTACGATTTGGAACGAGTAGAATGAAATGACTAGGCGCGCATGAGAGCACGTGCTTCCTCGCAGATGGCTGCCGCGTTGATACGGTACTTAGCAAGTAGTTCATCTGGCTTGCCGGAGTGTGGCACCTCCTGGACGGCTAGCACATGCTGTGTGAAGCTCACACCCCTCTCGCCTAGCGCTACTGCCACTGCCTCTGACAGACCGCCTGGGTTAACCAAAAAAGGCTGTCAGTACTCTCACTCCCATTCTCCTCATACACACACTAATGGAGCTTACCCTCAGGTCCATGATCCTCCACAGTGATGAGACGACCGTGGGTGTACTTGACCGAGGATGCGATCAATTCGGCGTCAATTGGCTTGACAGTGAAGGGGTCAATGATGCGCAGATTGATACCCTCCGCCTTCAAGACCTCGGCAGCCTTTAAGGCCTCGAAGAGGGTCACGCCGGCAGCGACCACTGTCACATGATCCTCACCGCTCGGCAGAGCCGTCAGACAAATCTACAAGCAATTGATGAGCTTATCTTCCTCTTCAATCCCACACTCGTATCGCACCAAACGATTCCAATTCACATCCATCAATGTAACGAAACGAACAGTAAAAGAACAGTAGTTACCTGATAGCAGGATATACGAGTTTTCTAGTCTAGACGAAACGACACTAGTGGATTACGAAACAGCTCAAGCAAAGAGAGGAAGGTAAGAGAGTGAAACCTACCTTGCCCTTACCGATGACGAAGTCCTCATTAGCATCATAGATGACAGGGACCGCAGGGCGACCTGTGCGGATAAAGCAAATACCCTTAGTATTGGCGGCCAGCTCGACGGCGCGTTCACAGGACACGGCGTCTGATGGATAGAAGACTGTGGAACCGCGGATCGCACGAAACATTGCCAGATCTTCCAGCCCCATCTGGCTAGCACCGTCTTCGCCTAAAACAGGGTAGCATTCAATGTTCAATGGGAATGAACGCACAGTTAGGACATCCCTCTCCATTCTTACCGCACACACACTTGGATTTCGAACGTTCCATCGCATTGTGATTGATGGAAACACGTGTACATCTATACCAATGGATGGTCGCTTTGCCTCTTAAACTAGTGAATCGACTAGCCATTGCACAAAAAAGGAGCAGCAAGAAGGGACTTTGATATCGAGTTTTAAAACCACAGAGGACCACTACAACAGAACCGAGAAACAAAACGACACTGAGCCTTATTAGCACGAATTTCCGTCTACCCTACCAAATAATCCGTGATAATCACAAATGGCCAATCCAAAGTCAAAATGCATACCGAACAGAACTTAAACTACACAGCTTGTACAGACCTCAAGTCATTCACACACCCTCCACTGCCTCTAGCATTACGATGAGGAGGAATTAACATCAATGCGTCACACTACAACCATGCATAAGGCGTAATGGACTCCATGCTCCTAATGACTAGCCTTGGCTGCTTCTACGAACCAATGAAAGGCGAGATAGTAAAGCGCACAAGCAGGCAAACTAAGCATGGAGGTAAGATGTGCTTCGAAAAGCCCTTTGTGGATGCAGTAAATTCCAACTTCTCTATAGAAAACTCTTGAGGGTTGTGCTGGATTTTATGTGTGCGACGAAGGGCATCCGAATCGAAGAACATGCCATACCAACCTCAGAGCATCATACGCTGCAAAAGTCTCAAAATAATGGATCAACTGAATCCTGGTTTTCACGCTAGCACTGCATTAACTTCAAGCACTGAGTGATTACTAAATTCTATGGTCAAAACTTGTCCTAACTGGAAATGAAAAGGCTAGGAACATCTGGGTTTTAACTGAATGATAAAGCGTCGCGGTTTGCCTGCCAACAGAGATAAATGTTTGCAACCACACAGTGACTCACCAATGCTGACACCGACATGGGACCCGGCGAAATTACAGTCGGTCTGGGAGATGGCACCCATACGGATTTGGTCGTAGGCGCGGGATAGGAAAGCTGCAAATGTGCTCACGAAAGGCACAGTGCGCTCACGCGTGGCACAGCCAATAGCCACACCCACGAGATTCTGCTCCGCTATGAAGCATTCAATGAACTGCTCTGGTCGCGCATCACGTAAGTAGATAGAAAAGGTGGAATTCTTTGTGTCTCCGTCCAAACCAATTATCCGCGAATAGGTGGAGCCCAGGCGCGCCAGAGCTTTGCCGTAGGCCTCACGCGTCGCAATCTACAAGACAGTAAAACACCTCGGCATAGTTGTCATCCACGACGCAGAAATACTCGGCTAGCCGAAAAGACGCGGTCAACGTGGACATGCAAACGGGTAACCAGACATGACTAAAGCTAATTGTTGATGTGTATTGTTTGGATAAATGTTGGTGCATTAAATCGACAAGTATACAAGGGAGAAAATCAGCTCACCTTATTACCCTTCTTATAGGGCGGAGGGGTGGTCAGCTTAAGGGTGCCAATGAGATGCATCTCCTTGCAGTCTACCACTGGTTCCTGAGGCTTTAGTTTGCCCAAGGTCGAGGGGACGATCAGCGTCTTCTCTAAGTGCTCAATGGTCTTGGCGGCGCTAGTGCCCAGGGGCTTTCCATGCCAGTTCTCCTGATCCGAGATACCAGGAAAATCGTAACCCTTATAGGTCTTCAAAATCAGTGCCACGGGCTTTCCCTTGATTGAGCGGGCTGTCTCAAATGCCCTCAAAAGTTCAGGAATATTATGACCGTCCACAACTATGGCATGGCATCTAAAATCAGGAATGGAAAATATTGACGAATCTTATAAATGCAGTAGACTTTCACACGTTTGAATAATCGCCTCAGGATAGGTACCCGAAAGCTTCAACGCGACGCCGGTAGCAGTCTAGATCGTGCTGGAGACATGCTGGCTGACTCTGACCGAGGCGGTTGACGTCGAAAATGGCCACAAGGTTGTCCAGCTTGTAGTAAGAAGAAAACGCCAGGGCCTCCCATATGCTACCCTCAGCGGATTCACCGTCACCGATTATGCAGTAGACGCGGTACTTTGCTTTGTCAATGTACTTGCCCGTGTAAGCCATACCAGCAGCATTGCTCAGACCCTGGCCAAGGGAACCTGTAGCCACATCAACAAAGTCGAGGCGCTGGAACACAAGGGTAGGAAGTGGTTGTTAGACTTTTGGATGGCACAAAAGAATGTTTCTTAAAAACTGCAACAAACAGGCGTAGGGTGGCCTTCAAGATCGGAGTCAATGTTGCGCAGATTGAGGAGTTCACTTTCTGAAAGATGTCCGACTTCGGCCCAAGCGGCGTAAAGTATGGGAGCCGCGTGACCCTTGGACAGCACAAAGCGGTCATTTGAGGGGTGACGTGGCTGATGAACAAAGTATTTCATCTCATCGAGGAAGAGGACAGCCATGACCTCGGCAATGGAAGAACATGAGGTGGGATGGCCTGATTTTGCGGCATCCGTGGCTTTGATGCTGTTTATGCGGAGCCGAGTAGTGGCATCTTTAAGAAGAGCGATTTTGGAGTCCATGTCTAAATTGAGTAAGACAGGAGTAACAAGTGAGAATACTGAGAAATGCACTCAGAAATAGACAAGGAATCATGTTCCAAAAACCCAACTTATAAGAATAAACTTTAAACTGCATCGATGCGTTAGAATAATTAAAATCAAAAATCCCAATTCGAGAAAATCCACTAAGGGCAAATACACAATTCATTGATGACTTAGCAAATCAGTAGAATACAAAGTGTTCAAAAATGTTCGGAAAATCTGCATGAGTGGAGCAGGGCATGAAGGGACCGAAAATAGACGAGACAAACCTGGGACAACGCAATGTGCGCAAGACGTGGTAAAAGCGCGTAAGCGGTTATAAATAATCAGTTGGTTGACTCAAACAACTGTCGTGTTAGAAAATGTTGTAACTCCAAAAGCACATTGTAAGGTCCATCATTTAGAAGATGACAAATAAAAACGCCCCATTGCCATGCATCATTTGTTTGATGAGTTCTGAAGCAACCGAAACTAAACCATTGCCAGCAGTCATTTTTTTGGAGTTTGGCGGTCCTTTATAGGCCAAAAACGCCTAAGAATGAAATAATATGTTATAATAACTCCAGTTTGAGGCATTTGTGCAATCTCTTAAACTTATGTCACTGGACTTCACACTGAACTTCCATTCAGTCTTGAAAATTAGACTCTTTTATTGCCTTTAAAACAGCACTTATGTCTTTTGCTCAGTTAAAAGTATGGAGAGTTTTCGCTCTACTTTAGGACTAGGAAATGTAAGTTCTACATGCCGCTTTGAAATCTACATGGGAATTTTTGCATTACCTAGCATGCACTTGCATTCCATTCAAAAATATTTTTGTTTACGCCTCCTGAATGAGCTTATACACTCATCCAGGGATCTTTCTAAGCTCTCTTATTCCAAAATATGACTATATTAATGGGCTCTTTCGACTTTTTCCATCTCGGTCACGGTTGCCCTAGCCCAGTTGTCCACTACTTTAACCTAATGATACAGTTTTATAACACGGTAAGTGTACAGTCCTGTTCTCGTCATATCACTCACCACCTATTCATTTTACCCTATCAAACACTTGATTTCTGGTGAGACGCGTATTCTTATCATTTTTTCACGATTTCCAAGGTGTCGAGTGGTGTGTGTTGGCGACAGTAATGCGATTGTAAATCTATGTTTTGTAGGCTTAGTATTGCTCATTCACCGTTAACTATAGAGAGGGATGAATAGTTTTGAGTGACCTGTGATTGAGATGCCTTTGAGATGGTGAGCATGGTAAGTAGACTGCCTTGTGTTTTGGAAATAGTTATTTACTCTCGCTCACGCATCATGGATACAAGCCTTGTTAAAGTGAAGTCTCGAGTGCGCTTCAATTTTGGCAAACAACTTTAGTTTACTACGTGCAGATCGCTTGAGATGTAGTAGTATTTAGGGGGTCCTTACTCTTAAACAGGAGGTCATGTTTTCTGTAGCAACTTCTGGCATCGTCAGCACCCCCAGCTGCAGAGCCGACAGAGGATTTGAAAGCATTCGAGCGTCGACTACGAGAGATCGTGGATGGACTGCGACCTAGGGCTAAGCTATGGCGAATCATATTGCTGGCAGCAACTGTATTCTGGCTTTCCGCAACCTACCTGTGGCTCACCGACCCCCTCACATACCAGGTAGAGTAGAAGTGCATTTGCACCCTTTAGGAGGTGACTAACGACGTTGGCGTTTGTTGGTCTTCTCGTGACAGGTAAATTTTATCACCTCGTTGGGCAAGCATCCGTGTTTTGCGGTGAGCACGTGCCTCATGATTGGTCTGTTCTTAGTTGGGGCGCACAAGAAGGTCGTGCTGCCGAGTATAATAGCTCAGCGCTGTCGTACGGTTCTTGCCGAGTACAATATGACCTGTGACAACTCGGGAAAACTCATTCTGCTACCGAGGCCGAACTGAATTTCCCCTCCTCCTTCCCCCTCCTCCTCCACCTCCCTTTCATCGTGCTTGCACAGTGCAACGCTGGTCTTCCATGAATAGTCTATTTTTACTGGTTTCTTCAATCGCAGATGCCTCTTTGTTGTTTTGTTGACTGTTGTACGCTTGTGGGATTATGTGTCTTCATGCTCAGGTTGAAATGCGAGTGAGTCTGGCTAATTGGATGATGTGGTTGAAATGTGAGCATTTTTTCACTTAATAAATTTAGTAGATGCCTCTTATGGGCCAACAGAGGTAGACGTGAGTGTTGGCATCAGACGTTAGTCCAAATAATGTGGGAAAGCAAAGAGAAGCCTAAGGACTTGTTTGGTGTACTTAGGTTGGCTTGTGGTGTGTCATGGGACTCGTAATCTATTGCCAGAATGCATGATGTATTTCTCGGTTTTGTTGATTACGGAGACGAGGGCTTTCTGATCTCGCGATTGCTACTAACCAAAGTTGCGACAAGTCAGAGGCGTGGTTCTTTCCGACAGCAGTAGGTTTGCCGAGGGCCGTTCTGAGCTAATTTGCTGACGAGGTAGAGGTTCTGGTTGGAGCACACTTATTGGCAATAATAGCAAAACGTGCTCGTTGGGAGGTGTGAGGAGAGGGGACGGGAAGGCTAATATGCCATCGAGATGTAAGTGCAAATGTGGATGAAGGATCGAGGAAGGGCTGATCAATGTTCCTCAAGTACATGAAAGTCATGGTAACTGTTGGTGGTGAGGCGACGTATGAATGAGGGCTGACTACGCGTCCTCACAGGCCGTGGAGGTGGGATGTAATTAATATCAACTCAATTTCCAGCGCCCTTACTATTTAGAGCGTCTTTGACAACGTGCCCCTTGGCAACTCCTCGAATTTTCCTATCGCAACTCAGTCGGTGCCTCAACAACCACCTATCGATTTCGTTTTGTTCACACTTTCATCCTTACTTCAACCTGGATTGAGGAGGAGGCGATTTACTGGTTTTGTACTGCCCAAGATTGGAAGGTACTCATTAACGAGTACGCTTCAAGGGAACATTTCCTTTGAGGTGGATTGTCAAAGCCTACATTCACCACCAATTGGTCTGTTCTTAGTTGGGGCGCACAAGAAGGTCCTGTTGGCTTTCATTGTTGCTGCTAGAGACGTGGCAGTGATTTGCGTGCCCTCAAATAAGTACAGTGGAAGGCTCCATAATTGTTGTTTCCATCCAAACCTACCAAGCATATTGGTGTTTCAGTTGTTTCTTGCCTTCATGTGGAAGGCGAGGTGGGACCTTGTCTCTTGTGAGTGTCAGCAGATGCTTTTTTATTCTTTGGCTGAGAAAGTCGTGACACTTTTCTTTTGAAATGGTGTTCAGTTGTCCTTGCCGCCATTGTAGCTCCACGACTGCTCCAGACGGAGTGGCCGGACGGTCGTCACCAGAACGGATTTACAAGCCAGGGAGGAGGATTTGAAACCCCATACACTAGAGTTAAGTAACCTTCGAAACGAGGTCGCAGTGGATGAGCTGGATCTAGCTAATAGTCTGCTCACTGGTAGTGCATCAGTGATTCTCACACCACTTGGGTGGAGTTAGTAGCCCTATCGCCTAGTTACTGCCATCAGCTACTTCCCTTGTGGGTCTGAAAGGGCACCGGTTTGCTTGCTACGGTGGCATGAGTAACAAAGGAGCAGAAATTTAACCCAATCAGACATTCACTAAGGACGTTCTCGAACAGAATATGCACAGATCTGCACTTGACGAGCTCTGCAGCCGAGAGAACGTCTACTGTTGAGCCATTTGTCAATTTGCAGCATCACTTGCAAGAATATAGACACCCAGAATTGGGGTAGTTATTAAAGACCACTATTTGTGTCACTAAGGCTAGCAGCTGAAGCAGTGGTCATCATTGGGTCTGATCAAGGAGCACTCGGGTTTGGAATCCAGTCGCGAATTATTGGGAAGAATGTCGTATAATGCGTGTTGGTTTAAATATTTTTTGATGCGAGGGGCAGTCGGTAATTACGAGTCTTGCAACGGTCCAGTAGGATACCATCAGCCCCAGGGGAGGATGAAACGTATCCCAAATACGCCTAAAACGTGACATCTTCTTACCCTCTGCTTTGATAGTTTATTTATCTCCCTTTTTGATTACACGAGCAGTTAAGGCTCTGCCATTGTACTTCTCCTTCTCTGCACATCAGTGCATATCTCCCGCCACACTTCCATGACTCTTTTCGACTTGAGGAAAGGCTCAGGGCGCTACATTTTTGACAGCGGAAGGCGAACCTGATCCTAAGAGACAACTGCCTTGAGTTCTGTTACCGAAGGCTATACCTTAACGCGGTCGCTTGCAGAAAAGTTGGAGAGGACGTATACCTTCAGCAACTATCGCAGTCCACTTTTCTTCAGGAATGCTATTAACAAATTCGGCTAGCGACATCACTTGTGAACCATCTGGAGAAGTTCGTTACGGAGTTGTCTACAGTAAACGCAGAACATCTCCTCTACTGCTCCACTAGCTGAATAGAACCCAAAGAGATATGGCTAGATGGTATTGAAATGAGAAAAAAAGTGGAGAGAGGAAATAATCGCAAAAATATATTTTCGTCCCTTATTATATGGCTCTGGATTTTAGGCCGTCGGTTTCACGATTAGCGATGAGCATGCGAAATGACCAGCACATTCTTCCTTTCCCTAATGCAGTTTCCAAATTCGGTGTAACTGCAGATCTAGAAGAACTACCAAGAGGGACGAGTGACGTTGCAGTTAGTTGTCTTCTCATTTACACGCAACTTTGATGACTGGTGCAACTGACTCGTGGGTGATCCTCTTAATAGCGCCGACTGCGTTGTGATGGTAGACGCTGAAGGTTGAACAAAAAATGAGCCGAAGACGACGCTCAAAGAAGGAGAGGAGATATGTAGTACTTTATTTGGTTAACACAGAGTTTTCATTACCTGTCTATTCAAGGCTCCACCATTGTACTTCCACTGGCCGATAGCCTCAGCTCTTCTATACATCATTCATATGCCTTTCACCATACTTCTACAATATCTCTTAACTCCTGGGAAGACTTGGGCACTACAAATAGTCGTCACTTCACCAATAAATGTAGTCGATGACCCTTCATGAACTGGCAAAAGAGGATAGCAATACTTTAACTATGAAATGGTTTTCCTACCGTAGTGTGTATTAGAGGAGGAAACCTTACCAGAGGTACGAAAAGCAGGATTTGATTTCGAGTACTCCCTTCAAGGTCCATCTGAGGTCAGTGGTAATTAGACCTTGAGTTTTTGTTTTATGAAATCTTGAATCTCCCAGATAGGACAGCGAGTAACTGCACGTTTCAAGTCTACCTCTTTATCTTGTGTAAGTTTCAAACAAGTATTGTTATGAGGTAAAATTTAGTTAAACTTCCCCCAAATTTTTGGCTCTGCAGTGTCCTGCGTCTTTGACCATCCGTCAGCTTTTGCTCAGTCATGCTTGTGGCGATGTCTTCCGCTTTAGCGGAACAACATACTTGTGATATCTCTTGGTTATCCCACCGAAAAAGACAGTAATTTGAGTAATGTAGATTTAGGAATGCTTCGACCATGCACAGTGAAGGTGAGATATATTGCATGGATTGCTAACCATGCGTTGAACTCCCCTTCCGCCTCATAGATGGAAATGCTTTCGTTTATCTTCTGAAATTGACTTCAAGGCCCATTTCAGTGTAGAGTTCGGTTGTCAATGAACATGCAGGAGGAACTGAAGCATCTAGCACACTTATCGAGTCTGTAGAAAATAACCTTTTAGAAACCATCGTTGATGCTGATAAGGTCAGCATAGGGAAAATTTTCTCACAACTGTAAAATGACTTCAGGCGTGGGTTTTTTGATATTGCCAAGGATCTGCCACAATCACTAGACAACACTTTATGCAACACAATCTCAGACTCTGATCGAGGAATCAACACTATTGCTGTTCGTGGAGTGGAGGTTATTTCTCGCCCCACAGGAATGCTTTTTTCCAAAAGACTGGTAGTGAGTGTCGACCTGGGGACTAAATCACCTACAGATACGAAAAAAATGGGTAGTTGGAGAGGTAAGGCAACATTTTCAAAGCTGTAGATAGTGCGTTGTCCTTAAGGAATCACGTTATCAACCGAACAATAATCCTAATACGTTCTTTTCAAAACCGGAACATCCGAGGAAGGCGACTATGGCGACAATGAATCGTCAGAAGTGGTTTCAGTGCCTCATCCACGTATCCGCATTTCACGGCCTTGAAGCATATTGTGTTGCGGCGCCTACTCACTGCGCCCAACTCCGCACTTGCATTTACACTAATCATTTAGTTTCAAGGAAGCGAAGTGAAGTGGATCCCCGAGGATGTGTCAAACTGGATAGATAGCCGTAGAAGCATCGAATCTCTGGCTTTTCTTTAGATTAAGTGTAAAGTATTTAGCCGTGATGAATATGGTAACCGAGTAGAGAGGAAAGGCAGTTCTATCAGCACTTCTTGCGAAAGTACGAAGTATTGTTATAAGGTGGTGCTGTTGCTACTCTCAATAAAGAAAGAGCAAACAAGAGAAGTGTGCATGCATGTGCTCGGGAGGTTCAGCTAAAGATCCGCGACAAGTTGGGCATTTCACGGGTTGTTTATAGCGCAATGCTTTGGAGGCAAAATTGGTGATCAAATGAAGGTATTGAAGACCATCAGCACTGTCCCGGCTGGGGTCTGTTTCTGGAGGCATTCTCCTTCAAATGGATTTTAACACCATCATTAGCGTCTGCTACTACCGATTAAACACGAAACTCCTCTCCACAGAACCGCTTCCTGCGGATTGGGGAAGGCTTCTATTCGCCTCCTCTCCTTCGCATCACCGAATTTCTGGCGTGGAGTTGTCATTCAAGCTTGATCCCATTCCATGTGTTAAATTTCTCTAGTTAGAAGGTGTTGGGAGATGTGTGGTGTGTTAGAGAGGAAGAGAGGGGGAGGGAGAGACAAGTAGTTAGCAGGCTTTGTGAAGGTATGAAAAATGAAGTCTTTACTGAAGTGGTAGCCATACCAATTCAGAAGCAGGTTTATGAGACAATTGGTACCACTGTAAAGACATGCCGTCCGCCGTCATTAGCCAGCTGCGGTTGCCAGCCACCAGGCCAGTGTGCAAACCACGAAGACTGAAGGGAATACCAGAACGTCTGAGGCTCCTGCTCCACCGGGACACCCAACTCAAGGAAAGAAAATCTGGAGCAAGAAAGGAGCGATTAGAGGTAATATGGGTTGAAGGTAACCAACCCCTTATCAGGTGGATTTCGTAGTTTTGGGGTTCTTACATGGATTTGTCTGTCTTCTATAACATTCTTTGCAACTCAAGATAGCCTTGAGAATGGGACATAGACCTTTATCATCAGATTATTGAAGCATCATGAAGCAATTAGTTTTCATACTTGAGGTCTGCTGTCAACTCCCCATACATGTAGGTGTGACTCCACCTGTTAAATAACACGGCATTTACGGATGTCTCCACTGATATCTCCATCACTCATGCTTAACACTGATGCGAGGTGTCAATGACAACGTGTAATTGAGCATTATGAGAAGTAGATGCTTCTTCTGTTTCAACATGATCCAGTATCGGATTGAAGCCAGATGGCACGGTCTGCTAACTCATCGTCTCCAAATACTCAAGAACATACAGCACATGTGACCAGGAGGTCAGAAGCTTAGACTTGGAACTTAATTTGAATTGGGCTCGCATGGTAGACAGCCCCTAATTCCATTCACGAGGTTCAGTCTCCACCGTCTCTTGGTACTATGGGAGATAGGATCACAATGAAGACTGATGGTTTGCAAAGCAAATCTGATGTGCTATTCCCCAATTCCCCGCATCTTGTGTCAGGTGGTTGTGGTGAGGTATGCGAAAAAAGTCAATAAAGACTCAAACAAATGGTCTACGCTCAACTTCAAATGCATTGCAGCGTTTCATGCAAAGGAGAGCGTAATTTTTGCATCCAGACCGGTGCTAGAGCGGGCCCAGGAGTTCAGATACGAAGAATCTGATGGAAGAGATGCCGAAGTCGCTTTAAAGAAAAACAAGGGCGAAGAAGGGGACGAAGAAAGGAATGATTACTTCCAGCACTTCACTCCAGACAACTACTAATTTATGGTTCATAATGAAGTGAAATCCAGAATAGAGTCCACTGAATTGACCGCAGACTGTGAAGTGTAGTGGGCTGGTAAATTGTAGGTCTAGGATTAACCAGAGTCAAAAATTGAGAATTCCAACAGCTATTAATGCTTACGATGACACCTTTCCTTTGACATCCATCACTGACACTGGCAGAGGAAATCGTCGTTTTTGTCGCATGTGAACAACTGCAATGCCAGATTGAACCACACAATGGTTGGGAGTGGTGGAAGTGAAAAGGTGGGGACGTATGGATAAGGAAGGAGGGTATCTTCAAGACATAGAGACATCAAACTTCCATCATCTACATGGTGTTCACGGTTTCCTTCCCCATCTGATCGCCCTCAACACCACAAACAGTAAATGGAATTAAGATAATGAAAGTAAAAGCCCATAATAAGGATAAAGAGGATGCTTTCCAAGATTTATTACGCAAAAAGTGCAAATAATTTCCAATATTCTGGTGGTCCATCCATCCCCTCTTGTGTTTGAAGACTGGCACAATAAATATTGTGCGTATATAAGTACCACATACTCTAATCCCACTTCAGCTCCATTTAGGGAAGCAATTCCTCCTTAACTGATTAAAGGATGGCAAGGATAGTTGGTTGGTTATATAATTTTACCTCTTTACTTCATCAACACTCCACAACCCACCCGCTCACCCAAATTGACAGTTTCATCTTGGATCAAGTAAGTCCTTCATTGATTATTCCATTATTGAGTGTTTGGTTGGCTGGATGGTTAACTGACCTCACCTCTTCACTTTGTCAAAAATCCACCACCCATCCATCCGTTCTTTCCCTTTACAACCAACTGCCAGATATGCTCACCTACACATTCCAAATTCGACTACTAACTATCATACGTCTCCGTTTCTACAACGCAGTTTATCGTCAACGGCTTCTTCCTGCATCGTTTCCCCCACACCTTCGGTCTCTTTCTCCTTCCTCCTCGCAGACATTCTGGACCAATCGACACACGTAGGAACTAAACCATTTGACGTCTTTGAAATGAGGAAGCAAGCACCCCACTTGTTTTCTCTTCCATTCGCATATTCCATTCCAACGCTCCATCGGTGAGTGACTCATTCTTCACCCACTATTCTCTATGCTCTCAAGTATTGAGTCTTGAGTACCTTATTAGACCTATCCACTCCGTAAATTACATCTCATTTCATTTTTTCTACCCTCCTTCATTTTTTTGCATTTTAGCGGCACTGGAACGCCTTGCTCCTCTGATTCCCTCTAACTTCTCACACCTTCGCCTCCTCCTAACCCAACTTCATTTCTCTCGCGGCTCCTCTCTCTCCTTCCCCCTCACCTTCCACATTCTCCGTCAAAGCCCTTTTAGTGGATTCCATTTATCTCTCACCACATCTCTCATCTTTCTTCCTTTCTTCCAGCGTCCATTGTTTGATTTCAGTTTTACCTTACCTGTCGAGGACCATGTACAGTCATGACGTGATTCTAATGATTTATGATTCATACCCTAGATCGGACTAGAAGAGACCACACATTACTAATGACTGCATCTTAATTTAGTTCAACATGGCTTACTTTCATTTGTCATTGTCTTGTCCTGTCCCCGGACACTCTTATTCAGCATTTTCTTCTTTCTTTCCGCCACTTCTGTTTGTCTTATACCATCCCACCTCAGGTCTACCTCCGCCTATCCATCCTCCACCTCCTCTCCCTCCATTTAATCCCCCATAGTAAAAGTGGTCTTTTAATTAATTTATTTTAATTCACTCACTTCATTTGGACACTTTTCTCTATCCATTGCCCTTCTTTGTCATTCCATCAAATTGAAGTGAGTATCTCGTGGTGATAACAAAGAAGAAGTGCCCAAATACCGACAAGACATGCCACCCTACATTCCATATGTTGGAATTTACCTTGATAGCCACACATTCATTCGATCTCACCAACACCAAAATTAACAGGTGACAAGCAAAACTCACAAATCTGATGGATAGGAAGGCACTAAAAGTGAAGAAATGGGGCAACAGATGTAAGACAGAAACAGACGAAAGAAATGGAGGTGAAGGTGATAAAAGTCAAGGCAAAAGCCAGGGTGGTAAAGGTGGAAGGGCAGGATACCTTGACGGATAAATATCTATGAGGTTCTAAATCACACGACAATTGCCTTTTAGAGATGCATTCTCTCCCTTACCCTCTCCAACTCCTCCTTCTCCTCCCCCTCCTGAAAAAGGCGCTTCGCACCAAGTCTACCCCTCTAACCATGTCTTCCCATGCACTTCATCTAACCCGTTCCATTGGCCAATATCATCAACTTCAAAGAGCGTTATTAATTTCTAGTACCATAGTCCTTTACTATTGGGACAGTAGCGTACCATAGCTAGTTTGTGGGATCACAACCAACTCAACCTAAATATCAGTTATTAGTGGTGAGACAAAATCCAGCTGACCCCGAGGTGCACATTTCTCATTTTCTTCTCTCCGCTCTGTTCAATCTTCTTAGTCCTTTGTTAAAGACGCTGTCGGCACCTTATTCACTGAACTGCTGAAACGATAAGTGATGTGTTGCATGCGGACCCATGCAATATCGAAGGAGCATAGAGTGGACGCTGAAATAGAAATTAAGTAGGATATACTCATCTTAATGGTAAGGAATTGTCCTTCGGAGTGTCTACTTTTCGTCACTCGAAATGTACTGCACTATTAATTTCACGGTTATGTGTGACGGGTTTGATCTCAACCTTCTGCTTAAGGCATCGTGCTCCGCGCTACTGTTACAAAAACAGGACTGCTTATTTCCATATAGAAGAGCTCATAATCCACAAACATGGACGGAAGGATCAACGGTATAAACCGCGAGGGCTGATACGTCTGTGTAGTTAAAGGCACAGTTAATGAGGCACGAGACCTCTGTACCCCAGCGACCATTACAAAAAACTACGCACAAACTAGTAATGGTAGTCATCACACCTGTCTGGAGGCAAAAAGGCAGTTTGTCCAAGCCTTCGTATCCAAAGTGTCTCGTCAACTTTGTCAGCTGCAAAGGGAGATGGATATTCACCACAGCTGTGCTGCTCAAGGCTGCACAATGCACCTCGTCAATTGCATTCCATGTCCCAATCACTTTGCTTGTTGGCGAAAGACTTGCCTCCATAGCTTGTTCGTAGGGATGCGCCTAGACTTCAGCTATTCACAGTCTGTGCCTCCTTTCTGTGACATCAAGGTGTGTTAATCAGCTACGGCAGTCAGCATAGCTGTCCCTTTAAGTGGCATTCCTTATGACCTGGGAAAACGAATGAATCTGCATTTTGAGAGTTCTACCATTTAATCCATTGCGATCAACGTTAGCACAGTAGCCTTTTCAAATATGAACAGAACTGGATTTAAAGCTGGACAAAACTCCAAGGGATCTGCCCGACCTTTTAACCGAGTGCTAGTTGGATGGTATTCTTAGGCTCAATCACCGATTAATTAACAGCGCTTCAAAGCCACTTAAGGTACTTTGCCCATTTACTTGGGCACAAGTTGAGTTCCAAGGAGTATTCATAGAAAAACTTGGTGGAAGTTGTTGGCATGCTTTGATGCGAAGGAATGTATTTTAGGGAATGTACTGCCAGTGCAAACATCCGACACCTCTTCTAAGGTACAGGATGCAAGAGAGTCTCTATCATGTCGCAGACATTGACTCGGATCGTAACCCTACTTTTTCAACACCAAATCCTCTGCACCTACTAACTTTTATTTTATTTTTTATTTTTTTATTTTATTTTATTTTTTTTTTATTTTCGTGCTCTTTTCGAGGAATGATCTACTTGTCTGACGAAGGAGTGGCATTCTTAACATCGGGACGATGGCATTTGGCATCCTGCTATTTCACTGTTGCAAGATTGGGATGAAATGATCACGAGGAATGTACGCGATGCGAAACTCTGCATCTTCTAACACATAAAACATACTGTTATACATTGGTGTTTGAAGTGAACAACGAGTCTTTGGCCGTCAAGTCTTACTTATTTTGATGGTGGTAGTGTTGGAGGTAGCGGTCCAACTGCTGTTAGGGTGAGTCGATGATACAGACCTCAGAAACAATCAACAGCGTGAGTTCTGGAGACTCTGGTAAAGTTTGCAACTATCAAATCAGTACTACCGATCTCAACATGAACGCGCCGAACTTGCTCCCTAGTAGAACTGGTTGGAAGTCAATCACTCGTCCGGAAGAATGGCTTAGGCAGAATGATGTTTTGATTCAAGTAAGCGTCTTTTAAATCATTTCAATTTATCCCACTTTCTATCTAGATGGAAAGTGCGCTTAAAATTTTTGCTTCATCTGGATGAATGGCTTCAGGACTAACTTCTGTGAGTGCCTTAGCGCCTCAATCTATCCTCAATTCTGCCACAAACCACGCAAACGGGAGAGCACTCAATCTATTTCATACTCATTTACCATCCACCATTCCCCTTAAGTTGGTAAGCACATGCTTCATTACTTAAAGTTGTGGTGACCAAAAACAACATATTTCTACTTACTTACTGTTTCCTTTCATTGTAAAATAGCCTTCAAAGTACTATACATCACTTTCCGACCGGCCAGCACCAATACGGGCGAGAATGGGCAGGAATTCAACGACTTTCCATTCGTTAAACTGAGAACAATAAGTACTTTGTCTACAAGTGTAGTACTTCCTTCGTTAGGAAATTATCTGAAAAAATGGAAAACTAAAAATTTAAAGTCGCGAGTGATCACGATGCGAAATTGGACCTTACCCCACTTCGACTCGCCTTCTAGGCTTCGTCGAACACCAAACCTCAGGAGGTGGGTTAAATTAGTGCCACAGAAACAGCATTCCGTGATATAGCTGGATAAGATCACTGCCGACAATGATTTTGAAAGCACCGCCACATTCTGTACAAACTTATAGCGTGAAGGGGACATGTAACGACTTGTGTAATTTTCTCGGGAAAAATTGAAACGTGACGGCTTGTGTTAGGCCATGACGGTTGCAAATACTCCTTCCTGGAAGCTAGAGACAACCAAACTATTATGCTTAGTGGGAACTTGGATGGTAACCTTCATCCTGCCTCCTAGGCAGAGAAGAGTGAGTAACTGCATGTGCCAGTCGTCTAAAGCAGACGTCCAAATGAATGGTGAGGAAGAAAATAGAGCGGCTGCAGTACAAAATCTCGTGCAAGTTCATGCATGCGAATACTCAACTGAGCAATGCCAACCACTTGTTTATTTATCTACGACTGAATGTGGAACCACAATTCAGTGGGAAGTATCGCACAATTCAAAGGACCACAACACCAATTTCATTTACAAACGGTGTTACAATCTTCTGTGCATAAAGGGTATGAAAAACAAAGCATTCAAAATGACAGGAAGATACGGTTTGCAGAAGGAGACAGCAAGCAACAGGACATTTGCACCGAGTTTTCATCCACCAACTTGTTTTGACCTTTGTTAGGCCTGGAAAGGAGAAAGAACAACTTAGTAAATATTAGTAGGGGCCACTCTGACGGTTCCACAAACGACAAGCCATGATAACACGCGGTGCTAGTGATTTGGCCTGGCAAGGATAATGAGTCGACGGATGATACTCAGCCACTCATGGTGGAGTAACCCCACGGTCAGAAGCGGTGCAGTCACAGGCAATGCATTCTACCTCCTAATGGCAGTATCCAGCAGCTTGGGTGTTCATTCGATCACCCACACTATGTGCATTAAACGGCGTTTCCGCATGACACTTGCCACATTTGCGTCGCAGGAATTGAGACGAAGTGGACTGGCATTCAGCACAACTTCCACTCAGATGCAAATGCGATCTTATGACGACTTTTGGTGCCAGGGTTGGAACTAACATACTTCAAACGCAAGGTTTGGCTCCTCATTTGTTTGGGGATTGTAAACAGAGCTGTGCATAAACACCGCCCAAGCAGTGACATTTTGTCGACTTGGCAGCGAGTTTACACCGGCAATTCCACACGACGTGATGCTGGAAGCTAGGCTATTCTAGATCAATCACTAGGACCAAAACAAATAAGTAGACGCAGAGAGGCAAGGGTGTTGAGAATGAACTTTCCAGCAATTGTAATGCAGATTTTAATAGGCTAGTGGATTGTGCGGTTACCAGGCTGTTTGTCTCGCAAGCACTCTCCGATCACTCAGTGTAAAATAAGCGGTTCATATTGTACAAAGTGCTAATCTTTTTATTCATGGTGAGGTAATACAAACTCTGGAAGGGATCTTTGAAAACCAAGTATAACTGACCAACAGACTACTTATCAGCTAAGAATGTGACCTAAAACCCTTGACACTTCTCATACCACTTGGTTTGCCAACCACAGCGCTGCAAACAGTTCAGAGATCTAGGAGGAGAGATACCTTGATAGGAATGGCAACGAGATCCTGAAGGAGACCACGGAGGTCTGTTAGGACGTTGCGCAGCGATGCGAGACGACAATCCCACTCGATGCGTGACAGTTGGTCGGGCGTCCAGTCACCTGGTCTGTGGCCCGCAATTGATGAGGCGTTGCTGGAGGATTGCGCGCTCACCTCCACACACATCTGACGTAGTTGCTGGTAGATCTGACCACAAAAATTCCCACTAAACTCATCCTACTTACTTTGCCTTGGTAGTAGAAGAAGCGCCACCACTAAACTCGTGTAGCAAATTAAACCTCATTTAATGGAACCTCTTCAATAGTTGAACTTACATAAAGTGAACATCTTTCGGTGTCAGAAGATAGAAAAAACGTAAGGAAGGGTGAGCACCATGAAAGGGCATGTGTGTACTGTGGCTCATTGGCATAGCGAAGGAATGCATGACATTCCATTTGTAAATAGCTGGGTTGCAATGATATTGCCCATTTCTTGGAGCTGTCAATGGCTCGGAGGTATGTTTCTAAAGACGGCGTGAGGGACCACGTATTTCATGAGAGAAGTGGAAAGTTTCTGAATGCACAATGATGGTAAACATACTCTTCAACGTGCAATAAACAGAGCTGAGGTGAGCAACTGGTCATGCAATGACCAAATCATCTTCACCGTGACAGCTAAAAGGATTCACTTTGTAAAAGCTTAGTAACATGACACTTTACATTGTTGCTGTAAATTATACCTCCTTAAGCTACTTATTCTGGACGTGTAATCATAAATGTTTAAAATTAAAGGCTATTAAAATTTACTTCAGCAACTTCGGTACGAAAGCTTCTAAGGAATTCCTCTTCTGTAGAACCACTCGCACCAGAATCGTTGCATTCGAGATCGCTACTCTCATTCACCTTCATTGTACCATTCTCTTCACTCTTTGGAATCACCTTCCCGTTAGTTGTCATAGCGGCTAGCAGGGAGGCGTCATCAATCTCAATCTCGTCGTCTTCGTAGAACCCTGTCATTGAGGGGTCCAGATGAACGTGTTTGTACCACCAATCATCCTCCTGGAACCCAAACAAATGAATTTCTAAAGCGCTCATATTCTCGGTAGAGTCAAGATTTGCATTTGGCACTCTAAACGAGCACGTGGCCGGTGTTTTATGACATCTGACGTCCGCGTTATTGATAAAAACCTTAATTTCATTGCAAACGTGTCCGGAGTGGCTACGGGAATAGTGAATTGCAGGAAGGACCCTGACATTTGTGCAGAGCTGAGGACAGTGGTAATTATGGTCTCCTGAAGCTACAGTTGTCTCAGGTCTCCGCAGTTCAGTCGCCGCCTCGGTAGCCGAGGGTTCCCCTTCATGCCTATAGCCTTTCTAGCTGATATCCCTTACCACTTTTCAGGGATAACCTGGAGCATTGGATCCAATCAACACTAATTATGAGATTGTCGACTGGACGCCACCTCTAAACATCCCAGATGGAAAGCATCGACCACGACTGGGTGCGATTCAATCGTAACACCCACAATCTTGACTTAGAGTTGACCACGATGTTACTTCCGAGGCGGAAGAGTGGCCAATCGAAAGGACTGTCAAGTAACACAATAGACGCTTTGATGAGGCACTCAGCCATGCGAGACCATCATTTTCTGCAATCTCGATTAATGGCCTGATACTGGGACATTCCGTCTGTGCTCTAAGCCATCTAGTCCTTTTATACACGAATAGTATCCTTTTTATTATCCCAGTATGCTTTACAACTTCTTTAGGGCGAACTGGAACGCTTGAAACCCGGGATAGCAGTAAAATATAGTAAAAGACGAAAGACAATTCCGCTTACCGTCTGAGTGTCTAGACAGAATTACGCAAGAATTAACCTACCCTCAAACGCAGGAGAAATTAACCAGGGACCATGCTTCCGATTTAATATGAATGTAAAGAAAAAAGGTTTTTTTTTATCTCGGTAGCTGTCAGTCATTATGCTTCCCACTCTAGTATAGACACAAAGAGTGGGTTCGTGGGAGTGGTGTAGACTTTGCACTGCACCTCATTTACTGACTTACATACTCGAAGCGATTTGGTCAAAGAAACGGTGATTTCAAAATCCTTCGTTTAGATTACTGGAATTAGAAACGGACACCTACGAAGGAAACGGATCAACGTCACCTTGTTTTACTTCGCTCGATTTCTGCGCTTTATCAAGTGTTTTCCAACAACATCTATCTCTCGGTTTTTTGGTAACGGACCAACTGCGGCTCCGTCATTGTACCTCTGCCGAGTCGTCCGACTTCTCGGTCGTACCAGTAGCCCAATCCCACCCTCAGCCCTTTGTATGTCGACGATATTCGAGTATTATGTCTTATTTCGTCCTCAGAAAAGTTCCAGGACACTTCAGTTGCTCCACAATCGCTGAATACATATGAAGAATCGTGAAAATAAGGCTGTTAGCCTACCGCATTGTCCGCATTCGCAGCCGAGAGTTCCCCCATCAATGACTGATGCGGGTTCGAGCTCTGCCCACTGAGTTTTACAGCGCTGGCAGAGGTGGAAGCCTTTCGAGATGGTGAAGCCACTAAATTGAGGGTTTGAAGTTGATCCTTCAGTAGCACGGCTGCTTGCTGCAACTGCGCCAGCTCGTTGTCTTGACAGGTTATCTAGATTCAGACAAGGCAACATGACCTTGAGTCATTTACACAAGCACAGAACATGAGCTAAGAAACAAAAGAAATACGAGTTTACTCGGTGTCAAAAATCATATAAGATAGTTTAATTCGAGCTACACCAGGCAATATGATATCCATACTTTAAGTCGATCATTTTCGTGGAAATCAGTACAATCTTTTGAGAAATTAACCAATCGAATTCTTCAAAAGGATTGGAGAGGAAGTAGTCATTGAGGATCGTCTTTTGAAGTGATTTTTGGTTGGAATAAAGCTCCAAATATCTCGTAATAACAAACTCTCTGGTCTACAATGAACTAGCTGGTGAGAATAAACTCAGCCAAATGTGTCATAAAAGCTAGTCTCCGATGCTTTCCTTCACCCCATAATTTAAGTGCCACCTATTTGTTCGAAAATCCCACTACTTCCCACATTCATTTGGCCGCAGCAATATGAAAACAAGGGTCTGTTGAAGCATGTGATCCTCTAAATGACCGATTGTAGCAGTCCCAAAAGGTGCTTGAAGTAAAGTAACTTAGTGCAAAGAAGTGGGAAAATGTACAGAAAGCCTTCGATTCACACGGATGGATTTTATTACATAACATTAGAAGAATGTGGTGGTGAAGCGGTAAAAAAGCTTCCTGTCTTATAAACAACCTATTTAGCCTGATCCACACGCACTGATTTGTTTTACCTGTAACTATGGAAATATTATGTGCATTTCAGAGCCTAGATTGAACCTATTAGGAGGCGAATTCTTGTCGTAAACTTCAAAGCAGTATCTCTGATTCAAAGCATATCACCACCCCATTAAAATTCAAAATTGATAGGTCAACTACTTTTTCTTGCTATCCCACCCTTAAATGCAGATCCTGGCCGTGATCACCAGGTTATTTTTACTTTGGTAATGGAGATCGAAAGTCTCTTGTAAGCAGTTTAGCAGGCAGCCAATCAGGGCCGGGTAAATAGTTGGTCACGGGCGATGCCTTCCATTCTGATAGGTCAGTGCAGAAAAATTTCGCGCACGTTGGGTTGCAGGCATTCACGAAGGTTGCGTAACGAGTATTTAGAAATTACAAGGCCGAACTTGGCTTCGAAACGCAATATTTCTGAGTTGACTAGGCGTTACCCTGTGGCTCATGACCTAGATCCAATTGATAGAAGCTTAAAGGTAGTAAAGGCTATTGTCGAAACCCGTTTTTACAGAGATTCCAAATCAACCAGTGCAGATAAACAAAGGGGTCACATATCCCCAATCATCCTTAACTTTCTGCTCTAGAAAGATTGAAATCAGGTCATCGACTTTCATCTGGCAAGCATAAGACCGGATTAAATTTGTGGTCTACTAAACAGCGCAATGTCGCCGATATCATTCGTATTCATATCAGTGACAAGAGGACATGTCAAACTAAGGTCCCTATGCCTATAGATTCAACGATTTGGCTTACCACAAGTTGTTGATTGGCGTTTTCCTGTTGTAGAAGAGCATTAGCCTGTTGAGCATCCGAAAGTGTGGCTAGTACAGAGTCTCTCTCGTCCATAATAGCCTGTAGTTTCTGCTCCAACGTCGCCTTATCCTCCTTTAGGTGATTAATCTAAAAGAGAGCTCGTCAATATCAGTTCCACTGAGCACCGAGGGCAAAGGAATTTGGCTGAATATAGCAAATAATCATGAATGAAACAAGTGTATAAGCAGCTTCATGGATGGAGGTTCTTGCACTGCATGTAGACAAAAAAGTTGGAAGGTTTTAAAGAAGATCATTATAAATTTTCATGAACTTGCACCCTCTACTGCCTGACAGGACATTTGCGATGCCGTAGACCATTAACTATGCAAAGATAGGAATGTCACAAGAATGTAGGATGAGGGATTCATTCGCTCCACTACCAAATGTCTGACTTTGTGGCAATGTATATGCCTTGGAAATCTACTTAAAAATAAATATCCCTCATGCATCTTTCCTAATGTACACAAATTAGAGGAACTGAAGGAAAACTTTGTGGGTATTAAACAATTGCTGCATAAGAAATGAATAAAGGTTTGCACTACAGCATGCACGCAAGTGTGATCGAAGATTTCGTCTGTTTAGAACTAATTTTGCTAATTCTCTTGCGCAAAAGTAAACTTAATGACGAATAATTAATGAGGTGGAAAAGTGACTGCTAAGTTAAAGGAAAAATTGTCATCTATTTGAGCAGAATGCTTCAAAATCTCTGCAATGCCTTCATTGCATACTACAAGCCACAAATTACATGAAGCCAGTGTATATCGAAGAAAGAAGAAACGTAGGTAATTTAGAATCCTGCAGATGACTGAGAAATTTTCAGATAATCCGACAATTTGTTTCAGGAAAAGATAGCATAAGCCCGATGGAATTCATGTCATTAAAAACACTGAGTTTTTGAAATAACTTTACGAATCATTTCAATTGACGCTCATGGTTTTCGAGAGTTTATTCCGACATAAAATATTCCACTAGTTTACAGAGGTGAATTTACCAGTCTCCGCATAAACCTGTCCAAGACATTGGAAATATACTAATTCCATTCACCATGTCCGTTTTGTTACTCAAAGTGTTGTCTTGAAGGAGAAAAAGCCTACCAACCTCAGCACGTAAGCTCTCAATCTGTTGCACGTGGCTCTGAATGGCCACACGAGCAGTGTGGAGATGGTGCTGCATCACTTTCATCTGTACGCTGACCTCAGTGACACTTTGGTTGGCTTCATCAAGTTTTTGTTGCAACGCAGCGTTGTGCTCGCATAGCGACTGAATGGTCTCCTCGTGCTCCTGAGTTTGCTGCCCACTGCGGCGCTTCTGTTGTTGCACCTCCTCACGCAGATTAATGATCTCCGCCTGCAGCTCTTTCATCTGTGCATCATAATCGCTCTCCACGGCTATCAGTCGAAGACGAACTGTCTCCTTCTCACGCTGAATGTTCTGTAATAGCAGAATTAGGTCCAATGAGATGTATGGGAAATAAATAGAACTCACGTGAATCTGTTGGCAAAATTGTTCGAAAAGACATTGATTCTCCTGTCTCAGCAAAAGATTTTCCTCCATTACAGCGGTGGTAGCTTCGTTTTCACCTACCAAATTGCCCGAGGCAGGTGTGTATTGGAAAAGCTCCACCTGTGGCTCCATTACAACCTACAATAAAGGTATCCCTGCTGGTTAACGGATTACAATTCATTGGTCTAATTTGCTATTACATTGGAAGGACAAAATGCAATTTAGAATCTACTCCTTTGATCTAAGTCTCGATGTGCAAATCCTGGACCAATATCAAAACGTAAGTCTTTTAGCAGTTTTCTGACCACTAATAAGCAAAACTAAATAAAAGAAACAAGCTGGAACTAATTATACTGTATTTCAAAAAGACAAAGCTGAAAATATGTGCTTAATTTAGTGACAGGACCTCGTCATACATCAAAATCAGTTATAACGAAAATACTATTCCAAACGTCAAATAAAAAAGGGATGAACTGGTGAGAAAATACTTCCGCTAGTGAAGTGGTCCAGTCAAAAATCTCTTTAAGGAAGGAATTCAAACAAAAGTAACACCATCATTTCCAATAACCCACTAAATAGGCAGAGAAAATAGCCTAACCATGCATGAGCTTGTTAGTTGGCGCATCAGCTTCACCGACCAGACTTTCACCAAGTAAAGGACTTATTTGACTGCGAACTACGTCGCTAAACATTCTAACTATATTTCCAAAGGGAGCAAGTGATAAAATTTAAGAAAAGCGGGACCTCAAGAGAAAATGACAGACTCCCAGCCCCTATTTGCAGTAACGCGACGAACCTGATCTCTCAAGGATGTCAATGTTTGATTTATAAAAAGAACAAAATCATTTATATTTTTACCAGCCGCATTGTTGCTAACTAATCAGACCAATAAATTAAAAGGCCAACTAATATTGCTAGATTAGTGTTTCTATTTGTCAATAGCAGTTAACTCAATCTTAGAGAAACCTAAGCTATTAAGTGACTGTTTAAACAACATAACCAAATCCTAAGCCACGTCTTTAAATTTGCAGACTTGTTTGCCATAGATTGCGGCACTTGGCGATTTTAAAGCATAATTACGACAACGTTGCGCACGTGGCCAAATTTTAGCCTTGGATAACTTCAGATGCTGCAATTTGCTATCTTTGACTACACAGGCCAATGCGTCAGTGCAAACTGTGCGCTTAATCAGAAAGAAAATACTTCGGTGCAGACTTTACGCTCAGTCAGAAGGGTAATGTTCTAGTTGTTTGCTTAACTCTTAGCTTTGGCAAAGAATAACTTTGTGTCTCGGTATTGTACGTTCGTTGGATGAGCGGGCCCCTGAGCCCTGCCAGTTCCTTCAGGCCCTTTTGTCCGTTGAACATATGTTCTGCCCTAACATTGTCTTCTTTTGACTTCAGGGAAGTCTCAATGCACTATAAGCGGTGTGGACTTTGAGTCAAGTCACTTGACTGCCAGCTCTTCTTGCCGTCACTGATGCATTTTTTTCGCAGAATTTACCCTAGCTAGTATTTCTAAAGGATCTCGGAACTCCAAGTGGTCTTAATGTTCGCCTGAAACTGATTGACGCAAATTAGGTAGATTTGGCACTAAGTAACATTAGTCGTACATTAAAATTGCAGTTGTCAAACAGTTTTTCTATCCTAATTAAACTATAAGTTTAGGTTACCACCTTATATTTTAACCACACATTAATTATACCAGAGATCAGGCAGTTAGCTGTTTACACGGATTTTTAACCCTCGTACAAAATTGAGCATGCAAGTAAGTTTGTCTTTCAAATCGTACATAAGTGCCAAGTTTTTAAGCTACCATTTGGCAGGTGGTTGTTTTACTATACACGAGGCAAATAATTTGCATGTGTTAGGTTCATTCTTGCATCTGCTTGTTAGGTCGCGTTGTGAGTCTTTTTTCGCTCCCTATATTCATGGACTTCCAATTTCCATATTTCATACCACTCATATTCTTGTTGCTTATATTCTGCGCCTTTTGACATTTGACCCTCGAGACTATAACGTAGATAATGGCTGCTACTACAACAATGATATCTTGTTCCAGTGGCACCTGGATTTTGTAGCCCTGAGTACCAATTCTCTTCCACAATGTTGATCCGATACTGTTCGGTATGCTACGTTTTTAATTCCGCATTATTTCTACTAGAGTCTTATTTGTTCCTCCAAGATGGTCCAATGTTCTGTCGCAGTTTCCAGGGTATCTTATATCGGTTTTCTAAAAGGATTGTTATAGCTCCACACCGCTACTATCCTTTCAGCTGTTACGGGGATGCGGAAGAAGACCTATGTTCGTGATAAGCCGCATATGAATATCGGGACTATCGGTCATGTGGATCATGGGAAGACCACTCTTACTGCGGCCATTACAAAGGGTAGTGTTTTACCGTTTGTGGACTTTCCCCCATAGTTTTGTCGGAGGAACAGAAAGGAAAGACTATTTACAAGTCATACGAGGAAATTGATGCCGCTCCCGAGGAGAGGAGACGTGGCATTACAATTAACGCTGCCGTGGTCGATTACTCCACGGACAAGCGTCATTATGGTCATACGGATTGTCCTGGACATGCTGATTACATCAAGAACATGATCACCGGGGCTAATCAAATGGAATGCGCCATCATTGTGGTTGCAGCTACCGATGGAACAATGCCTCAAACCCGTGAACACCTCCTGCTTGCAAAACAGATTGGAATTGAGAACATTGTCGTTTTCATCAACAAAGCTGATGCTGCCGATGCTGAGATGTTGGAACTCGTTGAGCTGGAAATCCGTGATACCCTTAAGCAATATGGGTTCGATGGTGACAACACTCCGGTAGTTAGTGGATCGGCTCTTTATGCTTTGGAAGACAAGGACCCAGCTATTGGCCGTGAGAAAATTATTGAACTACTGAAGGTGATTGACGAGGTGCCAATGCCTAAGCGTGACCTGGATAAACCGTTTCTTCTTCCAATTGAACAGGTCAACTTCTCATTGCACTTTTGACCCATTTCTTTTTGCCTAGTTTGAATGCTTCTTGTCTTCTATTTTTTGGAATTTAGGTTTTCACAATCACAGGTCGTGGAACAGTTGCGACCGGTAGCATTAAGCGCGGGAAAGTGAAGTTGCAAGACCAAGTAGAAATGATAGGCTATAACAAAACACTGAAATCCACGGTTACCGGGATTGAGATGTTCCATCAGATGATGGAATACGGTGAAGCCGGTGACCAGGTCGGTATTCTGCTTCGCGGTATCAAACGTGATGAGATTCGGCGTGGAATGGCGATTATTGCTCCAAAATCAGCTACCATTCACAACTACTTTAAGGCCCAGGTATGTTGTATACCTATTCAAGCTTCTCTGTTCAAGTATGTTGCAGCTGCTCTGCATTAGTGCTTTAACATTTTTAGGCCATATATTTTGATATTCAAAATTTGTCTGCTTATTTCTGCTTAGTTTCGGCAGCTGCTTCTCAAATCTACCAGTACTTGTAGTTTGTTTCCTCCCTCCCCTAGGTTTACATGCTTTCGAAAAAGGAGGGTGGTCGGGAGAAGCCATTCACAACCAACTTTCAGATGCAGATCTTCAGCATGTCATGGGACTGTCCAGCTTTTCTTCAGTTGGAAGAGGGTCGGGAACTACTAATGCCCGGGGAGGACGCTACCATCAAGCTGCACATGCAAAAGAAAATGGTAAACTTGTTACTCTTCAAATAAGTACCTCGAGGACCAACTCTGACACCTGGCTGTACTTCAGTTCCTAGAGCCCGGTCAGCGCTTCACTATTCGCTCCACTGGCTCGACAATGGGCTATGGCGTGGTTTCCGAACTCCTTCCTGACCCTGGATTGGGGAAATGGGCCGAGTAGATAGCGCACTGCAACCAACATGCCAGTCGCCTCTCCGTGCCCTTGTAACTTAGTCTTGTAGCCGTTCTACCTTTTATACTTCCTTTTGTCTGTACACAAAGAAAATCGTGTCGCTAATGCCCACTTGGGTGCTTCCATAATTACATGGCCTAGATCTCAAGGGAAGCCGTTTGGAGCCTTAGTGAGGATAGTTACTGATGCCTCCAGTGTGCCCATGACGGAGTTTTGTTGACGGACTCAGGGGTTGGTTTTCCGTGGGCTAGACTTAGGCGGGTCGGAGGACGTTGCCGTTCGACAGTATGGCTTTGCCAGCCTCGCTTTCAAGGTGGTAGTCGCGAGTTTCTGGTGGTACAGTTGGGTGGTTCCGAGGGATCGCCCGACCTGGTGTTAACGGGTTGGATTGGTTTTGTTGTCGGTCTGGCTGGGGCCGAGACTGGGACAGTCTGCCTCCGTCAGCATCTCTTTCAGTGACTGGATTCTTGAAGTGAAGCATTCCCAACAAGACCGTACTTAGTATTGACGTGCTAAGGCTCCCGCCACCATGGTGCTACCTATATCCCGATTGGGAAATCGCTCTTTGGCTGTGCCATTTGAGTGAGAGGGCTAATCCCCCGATTATATCTACAAGCGGCCCATGCAGTCCTTCCCTCTCATGATAACATGACTGATGAATCAGCGTGCAATGCAAACTGCTAGATATTATTATTGGTAGTGGAAGTGGTCATCAGTAACATTAAAAGGCAGCAAACTTTAGAGGTTGAGAAGAGAGGAAAGGAGAGACTCGATAACTTGAATCCCGGGCCAGGTTTAAGCGGCCGTTGTCGGAATGGGCTCGCGTAGCCATGCACACCAATCATAGAAATCTGAGAATAAAAAATTGACGCTGGTGTGATCTGCAGGACCAAATCTAGGCGGAGGAATAAGGGGAAAGATGGCAAATTGTTCGACAAGTGTGCTCACAACTCATGGCATCATCAGCAGCAGTTCGGATACACATATGGATTGTTGCTTTGTATATGGGAGTGTGGAGGATGAGGGGAGGGGAAAGAACAAAGAATTTCGACGGAATGCAAGAGCACACATCGCCCCATCCAGCCTTTCACCGCATCTCGTGTGGCGGTAAAGTGTCGATCGATTTTAAGGTGTCGAAGAGTCCATTCTTGGAGTGCGAGGGTAGCATGGAAAGCGAGGGGACAACAGCATCGCCAAAACCACTGGAGCAGGACACTATGAAGGGGAAGACACCGTTTCCATTCACCACGTTGCTGGCAGTGCTTGTGCCAACTAGCATCGCGGTGGGCTGGAGAAAGACGTCCTGTCCGGCGGGTGACTGGGCGGTGGGGTAGGCTGTGGGCTGTGACGCAAATATGAGACCTCCTGTACCTCCATGGATAGAGGGGGGACGCATGGGATAACCCGACTGACCGCTTATCAGTGAAGCGCTAGCATACTCGGCCATCGAGCTATCTGGAGGGAAGACAACGTCCTACTTAATACGTGCCAGTAGAGGTTCTTATTTGTTGCAGCAAGTAGGAGTGTGCAAACAGGACCAGTTACAAGTTGGCATTGTCTGTTATTCCCCTTTTGGCGTTCAAATAAACCACCAAAAGTATGAATGAGTTCATTTAAAGTTTCATTATGACTACAATCATCGGTAAAGTGTGGGGCTATGTTGCACCAGTGAGACAATGCAACGTTAAGCCACGCAATCCCAAAAATTCAATTCCGAAATTTTCTGCGACAATCAAATGTTCGTACTATATTAATTCCCTGAATTATTTCCATTCCAGTCCTATCTCTCAACTCTTACATCTCCCCAGTTTTACTCGCTGATCAAATAGTTGACGCTTCAAATTAATCAAAGCTGTCTGTTGCCTCAGTTCAGCTTAAAAAATCAGATGAAATATGAATTAGGTTTTATTACTCGTGGCGCAAAATTTACGATCCTCTGGGGACATCAGATTAAGATAAATGGACCATCAGTGGACAAAACGCTTCGACGAATTTGCAATTCCAGTCCAAGAGTCTAAAACTCAACGAATTTACCAGATCTTCACACACCAACCGACACGCATATGTTGAGTGAATTAGTGTTGTTAATGATCCTTAAAGTCGGGTTTGTGTCGAAGAAGTAATACCGATTAAAACACTTTAAAAATTACCAAATTGACGTAGGACGAAGAAAGACATTTCCAGGATTTTGACAAATACAACGTTCACTAAAAGTTGGAATTGAACTCCACTGATCCATATCAATGCAAACATAAGCCATTAAGGTCAGTAAATAATACTTTAGCTAGTGTAAGTTTTAGTGACTCATTGAGGCAGAAGAAACCCAATGAAGAGCTCACCAGTGTGAGTACTTGCAATCATGGGCGCGTTGGCAGCAGCGCTACTGTTGGCAAGGATGGATACTGCGGAAGAGGCGGCGTATGGATTCACTGTGGAGCTGGGTCGGTGGTTGCCGCAGCTAATACCGGATGTAGGGGTGATGGGCGGGAGAGGCGGTAGTGGCTGATCAGGCGGCGGTGGTGGTGGTGGCGGGGGCGGAGGGGGTTGGAACAAAGACGCTGCTGTGGTACCCGACATCGTTAGATGCGGTGCTCCATTGTTCGTAGAAAGTGTCCCAAAGCCCGCAGTCGGTTGAAGCAGAGGTCGGAAGACGGGATCATATGTCGACGCTTGTGGTTGGTGTTGCTGCTGCATCAGATGCAATGCTTGTAACATCCCGTCTAAAATGCAGGAATTGCCCCAATTCTGTTTACTTCAAGAAGTTAAGTCATTAACCACTCGGGATTAACACAGCTCCCTATCCTAAGAAAGCAAGAAAATATGAAGCTTACAAAAACCTAAAGTATGTCGAGCGGTTTGATGCTATTCAAAATAACAAGAGAATGTGGTTATAATAGTGAAAACAAAGCAATAGATGGAAGCTACCCACATAATTTTTTGATTATAGTAACGTAACTGAATCATGAAAGTACTCATTTATAGAAAAAACCCAAAGATAGCCTCCCGTTTGTGTTGGTGCCGCATAATTCACCTCCTTTTAAGAGGATTAGGGACTAGTTAAGACCCTGCTTTCCTAGTAATGATATCTTTTGATTTCCTGATTATGTTTGAGCTAATTAAAACAAACGGTATGAAATATTAATTGCGAGAATGGCTTGAGTCTCTATGGTCGAATTATGGAACTAGGCAGACAGGCGATAAACCAAAAGGTTATTGTTGGTTTTGTATAAGCCAATGAATGTACTAAGTTGTTCGCAGATTTGGTAAAGCAGGCGAATTCTGCAAAGTATGAGCAGCATTTGAATATGAAATGTACCCTGCTACTGTTGCTGTGACTGCGGCGACTACAGCTGCTGCTACTCAGCCAAGTACGAACTGACTCAACACACGAACAAAAAATCGTTCTTATCTCGGCGATTTGTTTAAGAAATTGAAGAAGGGGTTAGAGCAGGATACAGTGGGGGTGATTCACACACTTTAGTGCCTCTCTCAGACACACCAACTCAATCCGAGCTAGCCCTTTTCGTTTCCTTAAAATCGACAAACTTGTCCACTCACCCACCCACACGCACATAATCAGTAGTTTTGCGCATCACTTTTACCAGCCATTTACCATAGTAGTCACCGAGATCTCCTGTGGCGATTACTTCTTACAAAATTTCCCTTGATACACTATAATAAAACCTTAGACCTTCGAGAACGGGGTATTGTTTCAAAAAAGTAAACAACAAACCAGAATGACGAAAAACTTAAAAATAAGCCCAAATACAGATGAATTTGGTGAAAAGATGATTATACTAGCCTTCATGACATATAGCAGGTTTAGCTTTCAAACATGGTAACCACGGAACTCACCGTTTCCATTGTAGGGAGAACACATATCGACCGGTTTGCTAGGAGAGGAGATGTCACTGGCAGCCATGGTGTTGGCCAGACAGAAAGCACTGGTGGGCGTGGCTCCACTGAAAGCTAAGAATCTTCCATCTCCACCAGTTATCAGGCCGTTGTTTTCCAAGAGCTTCGGTTTTTTTGTACTATTACTACCGCTACCACAGTCGCCACCATCGGTACCTCTCTCGGCAGTGACCTTACTCAACAGGGCTCGATTAGCATGAGAGCCACCGCGACAGAGGCGGCAGAGGACGTACACAAAGACACTGACCACGAGAACCAATCCTACCACGCACACGGAGCCGATAATAAGAGACAGGTCTGTGGATTCCTCCAATGAAGGCGGCTGGGCTTGAGGAATGGGCGAGGAGGAGGAGGCCTCGACCTGCTGCTGGGATTGGTTGACGGGACTTATCTCTGAAGCTTTGAAAATTGCCGAAAGAGGGCGTCAGAATGATGGAATTTAACCAAGTGCATTATCAGGCAAAACAATATGTTGTCAATTATTGGGGAAACAGCTGAAATCATGTAACAACTTTCGATTTAGATATACCCTTTGGAAAATAAGAGGACGAAATCAAGAAATTATTTTCAAAGCTACTACCTACTCCATTATATATTTTTGCTTATTTTACTTTACAAAAATCCGTTCTACTTTGCCTATTCATTATCAAAATTTCCTGGATCCAACCCAATGCAAAAATTAAGAGTTATCTGGTCGAATTAGGCTTTTATGTTTAAAATAACCCCAACGAAAATTACCTTAGTAGTCTACCAAATCCCCAAGTTCAACTTCAAGCAGTCTTAGTCCAACACCCCCCTCACGTTCAAAACAAAAGGGCAAAAATTTGATTTACTGAGATAAAATTAAAACCAGCAAAAAAGTTGAATTCCCTACTGTCTATTCATTTTACGACCTTCAGTAAACAAAATAATGCAAATCCATTGTTGTGTTTTGAAGAACAGTAAGTGAAAACACCCTGTATACGACCCCAAGAGAACTCGCATTCACAGGTAGTCTGTTCACCGTTCAGAACACCAGATTACCAGATATCGTAAGAAAGTGAAAAAATTGCTTAATGAAGAAGTGCACACCGAAATTTCAAGTACAGGAGGAACATTCCCTTTTTATCTCCAAATTGAAAATGACAGTTCTAACCGAGAAAAAACTTCGTATTAAGACCAAATTCCACGCAACTATGCGAGATAGCTTTACTGTGCATTTCAAAGAGACAAGAATTCAACTAGTAAACTATTCTTTTAAATATTGCTAATAAGATGTAAGACTTAAATTGCTTTTTTACAAGAAAAATGAACGGATAACGCGATGGCTGAGCTTCACGACTAATGGCAGCTACAGGAGACAAAAATAATCAAATTTCAGTACAAGTTACGTGATCGTTTGTAAAAGCACACAATCGGAGTCTCAAATGCAAGTTAATTTTTTTATTTTCCCCACATATGGACAAAAGCAATCTAATTAAATCGGGACGGGTGGAAACTGAAACGATTGTGAATTGCTTAAATTAAAACTGATAATTTTTTTTCTAGAGCCCCTTTTTTGTCGGTTTCTGCGAATCTCTCGATCCGTCTCAGCAAACACAGAAAGTGACTTTCGCATACAAATTATTCAAATCACGCGAAACTTGAGCAATATTTTTAGTTTTGGACATGTGGCAATCTCACCGATGGCGATGAAAACAGGGAAAAATGTTTAGAGTTCACACCCATTTCCGTTTATCCTGTTGAAATTTCCGGTCATCCCACAAATCCAACTTCTGCGTCAAGCACGAGTTGCATTTACATTCGCTTCATTTCGCGCATTTTTGATTGTATGTAGGGAAACAAAAAAACATGGCTAAAACAAAAGCCTCAACCTGCCAGAGAGGGGCAGTATCTCACCTGAATGGAATGGCAACTTCAATCCGCGGTAGTGCCCTGCTGTGGGTTGGTTGAAAAATTGACGCTACTTCACAAGAACGTGGCATTAAAGCGGTGCACAAGCAAAGTAGGAAAATCCCGTGTAAGTACACACCATAAATCACAATTTCATTGCTGGATACATTTCCCGCAATTTGTGGCAAATGTAGGGGAAATACCAATTTTAATAGAGGATTAGCCATTCTGGACATTCCCACCCCACATTTGCATGAGTATTTGTCAGGAAAAAGACATTTGTGACATAACAATGTTGACATGTTACCGACCCAGTCCTGAAAAGACATTGACAATGTAGACACCCCACAAAAGTAAGAAATTCGGACCTCCTCGTTACATGGGGATGCTCAATAACTTTACTAAGTCATCACAAAGTCATGCTACATAAATTTTCTCACCGCAAATAACTTAGACCCACCAACACAATTCTCAACTAGATGTGACCTTAAGAAAGATGATTCAATAAAATAAACTGTCTAAACATATCACGCCGGACAGTTACGATTGCCTAGCACATGGCATTCAGCCAGAAGCTGGGGGCTTCGGTTTCAATATGTCCCCAGCGTGTACCAAATGCAATCCAAATAAATTTTAAAAAGTTTCGGTGTTTGTGTGGAACTCGAAAGTGCATGTGATTTATACCCATGTATAATATGTGTACCCTGGGTTAAAATACAATCCAAATTCACCTACGACACTCATCCGCGTGTGTATATATGCAATTTGGCAGTAGGGTGGAGCGCATTTGTAAAATGGGGAATTTGGGGCGAAGGGCAGGCGGAGGGGCAAAGCAGGCCTCACACACGCCGGATCAGTTGGGGGGAGGGGGGATAACCCACTGCACAAGATGGCACCAATGACACAGGCAGGAACGACCTCGTGGAGCCATAAATGTCCCACCACACATACATATTCCCTCCTCAGGATAGCGAGATAAATTCTCGCAAGCCGACGAGGGAGGCTGACTAAAGAATGGTGGGTTTGCGTGTCCGCCTAACCGGGTAGCGAAGTGATCGTGGAGAGTGGAGTTTAAACCCCCTCACACCCGTATATACGAAATTCTCTTTTAATGCCTCTTGCATGACAACGAATAGCGTTGTGGCGTGTTGATTTTATCGCGCATGCAGGCGGCGATCGCGGTGTTCGGCACCGCCGCACCCAACTATGCAATTGAAGGCACGCAAATTCAAAGCCTCGTAAAGACTACCTTATCTCATTATTTGGTCTTAGCGATGATCAAGTGGTTGTTAGGGGTGAGAATCCACATCGGAACGGTAGAAACTGGTCATCTGAAATATTCCCACGACATGTTTGCCGCATAAAGTAGTTAAGGCATCCCTGCTTAAAATGACTGCCTGACAAATGGATGCTGGAAGTAGTGTATGGGGTGATTCACGCCCATTCTTTAGAGTTGAGGCTGTTTTTAATCCACCCTAAATTAACGGTTTATGGAGTGGTGAATAAATGGCGTGGGCAGCTTAGCTTCTACACAGCCATGAGACATCCTGTAGGAACCGTTAGGGGGGGGGGACTCCAAACTTAAAGTAGAAACAGCTCCAGCTAGAAGGCAACAGAGGGCACTCAGGTATCTACATATGACGACTACAATTTCTCTTTCCCTCGACGGACATTTTTTTTCTCTTTGTAATACCCGACATGATTAATGTGTCCGATTTTTCCACACTGCAATGCCTCGACGACAGTATCTGAACGAACGAATTTCTTCTGTCGAATAATTGAAGGCCGTACCTTTTGTGAAGGAAATGACAGCCTAGATGCAAAATCTTTCCCGCTAAATCAGCCATCTAAAGACATCTGTTGAGGTTTTCACTGGACGCTACAATTATAAAGAAACTCAGAAGCCATGATGGCAGATGGAGAATACTAAATAAAAGAAGCCGCAAACTTTGACATATGGCACATTATTAATAAATAAATAATTTGGGATTTATATAAGGAATAAACGAGGCTTGAAGTTATTCAACAGGCTGTTTAGTCATAAACATAAATGACGCTGGTGGAGCTGTTCGCATAGACAGGACAGACTTCGAGGCATCCCACGACGACGCTATGGTGGTGAAAAATGGATTATGAAGGGAGTGAGCTCACGAGTGGGTGGTCCAAATCTACTAACTGAGTTGATAGGATAGGACGGCCCCTCCCCCAGCTAGAATGTTTCGGCCGAACTGGTCTGGACTTAATGCCTCTTGGGACTCACGAAAGGATATATTCTAGAGGGAGTGGGGGGGGGAGCGCAAGGGTTGGTAATCAAAGCCACTTACCATTACCACACATCAGAAATGCTTGATAATGATGACGTGTGGCCTTGGTCACAAGCTATCATGAGGAAACACAGCAACTCACGTTTCGATGACTGGAGCGCATGTAATGAGGTCTGCGGCAAATCGCTATTCTTCTCCTCGTCTATGTCCACTATCAGCAGAGCTGTAAATATCGAGAAAAAGTAAAAATTTTGGATCAAATAAGTTGAGTGAAGTTTTTGTGGACGGAAGGCAGATGATTATTTAGCCCCTTGGTAAGCCAGTCATTAGGATAATTATAGGTCACAGAACGTTAAGGCGTCATAAAATTATTATCGCCTCCTAGTAGCAGGGATCCATGAAATTATGGGGATGCTACAATGAAAGTTAGGGGGAGGGGAGCTTATGGCACTCTGTTGGAATAAAAAAGGAAGAAATTTATGAAGGTGGAAGAATTTCACTGTAGAACCACGAAGCCCCACATCAAGAAATTGCGGCGGAAGGAAGTAGAGGCCTTCCGTTTTCCTACTGACGCTTTGCTTCTTTAGCCGGAAATAAACAGTGCTGGAGAGCGAAAAAGGACTCATTTTCTCCCTTGAGAGCATGCAAGTGTACACGCACGGATGCGCATGAAAATTTCCGGCTCACGAGCCTCTCTCGCTCTCGCCACGCATCACCACCAGCACTGTTGCTGCCCTAATCACTCGCGCTCCGCCACCGTTGCAGTTACCTCCACTAGTTTAGGGTCCTCGATAGCTTGATGCCTTATCAGTTTAAAATCCAAATTCTCATGTCCCAGTTTTTTTAAACTACTTGGAGTTGAATTATCCTTCGCTCTGTCTTTAGTATTGTCCCTCTCCTCCCATCCTCTAAGGTCTTTTCGTTGTCGCTCAGCGTGAGCAAGATGCTGTTCGAATAATTTGAAATTGGACTTTTACATCCGGCTAGTTGACATTTCATTTTTTATTCAAACGACAGTTTTTTGAGCAGTCAGGGCCGAAACTCGTTCTACATTCAACGCAAACTGAACATGAGCGAGGGCTATAGGGGCTACCACAACCAGTTTCGTGTGTCGACTCAGGTAAGTCAGTCATGATGCACCGTCTGTTTAAAAAAGCCAAGTTACTCATTTAGAGGAAACCAATCTACTCTGAGATGAACCGTAATTTAACAATTATCTAGAGGAAAAATATATCTGATTCCTTGAGTTAAATAAATTAAACAAAGTCTTATTGGTTGAATAAAAGCAAAGTTTCTCTGAGGTCTGCTCTATCAGGAGTGAGTCGAAGAACCACAAGGAGCTGAATAAAGTCAAGTTATGTGACAGGTATGCAAATTGGGCTGATGTTGCTACCCACCTCCAGGGTTGTAATCACCCTCGACACTGAAACAAACTGAATTTACATAAGAATCAACTGTGGCATGCAAACCAACCGATTCGCGGAACGTGGCAACTGATCTATTCACCCATCTTAATCCGGAATAGCATGTTATTTTGGTATCCCTTGAAATGGGTAAAACCTGGCTTTAGATTGGCCACTGTACCAAAACAAATAGACATGCAGTCTGTGTCTCGATGATGTACGACTGTTATTCCGGCTTCGTATCATCCAAATCACCTACACACGTCTGTAGATGCAACAACTGTATACCGACCTATGTCAAGTTGTCAAAGGACCTTTGGGTACTATCATGGAAGAGCTAATGCCTCTTACAAAATTTCGGAGTCATGTAAATCAACGAGACTGGTTTAAGGGGAAGCGGTGAGAAAAAGAAGGCGAATATGCACGAGGGACTCCATTTTTCGTGAAGCAGACACGATTGACGACTTCTAAATTGCATTAAATCGTTTCTTAACCGCTTTGCTTCCAAGTAGATTTGATGACCGATGAGTTAAAGTTAATCGGTGTGAATTTCACCCAGCTGACGAGTGCGCGCGTCGGACATGAAGAATCCCAGGAGTCGCAGATGGCCATGTAAATTTAACTAATGTTGTTATCTGCATGCAAGGTGTGTGCAAAATTTTTTTATTTAACTACATATACCATTTGGTGGGTCTTCCAAAATAAGCGGTGCTTTCACACACACACAACTATTATTCCAGACCTAGGGGTTGACACAATACTCGTGTTTGTGTGTGCGCCATACATTGGTAGGCAAGTGATTTCGAAAGGAGCAGTCACAGGCTCTGATCCTGACAGCTCACCGTCGACAACAGACACTGAGAAATTAGGTCCTTATGCCCACCGAAAAGGCAAAGACAGAAAGGCATTTTTGTGCATTTTTTGCACGCATCAAGTTAATCAGAACAAATTAAGTGGTTCGGATATTCGGGCAGTGGTAAAAAGATGCTATTAACAACTGAAACGACAATGCCTGTAAACTACCTGAAAAAAGTTCGTTACGCAGCTGTCTACTCTACTTGCATTAAAGTGTCAATCAAGTGAACACCTGATACCGCCTCCACATCTCTACTGGCTGAAGAGAGCCCAAATAGACATGTCCAGAAGCAATGAGGTGGCCGCTAAATAACAAGAAGGACTTCAAACCGTATCCCCACAAAACTATTTTAAGCCCCGTCCTTCACTGTATAACTCTACATTTGGGCTAGTGTTCTTACGACTAACGATGGACACACGAGATGGTCAGCACGTCCCCCTTCCTCAAATACAGTTCTCAAACTGGCTGAAACTCCAGATCCAGAGAAATTTCCAAGAAAGATCAGTGATGCTGCAACCAAACATCTCAGCTGCCTGCAACTTCGATTGCTGGCACTATTAGTTGATGGGCGTTTTTGCTTACAGCACCGACTACATTGTGATGGTCAACGCGGGAGGCTGACCAAGAAGGAACGCCGAGGACGCCGCTCGAAAGGGGAGCTATGCAAAACTTCAATTTGGTCCTATGGGTACTGAAGGCTACGCTTTTGTACCCCTGTTGGGAGGCATGGGCTTGGGTCATGTCATTAGCCCCTTAGCCCTTCTATACCTCGGCAGTATATGTTCTGCCCTGGTGTCATGTCTTTTTTAGACTTCAGGGAAGACTCGTGGTGCAACAGCTGCGTTAATCTTACTACCATTTTATTAATAAATCGAAAGTAATTATCCATTACTAACGTTAGCCTATTAACAAATTCACACTAACTCCGAAATAAATTAGGTTCTAAAATTCTACATCGTGGAAATGGCGGTGAGCATCAGGCTTGACTACTTCCTTCATTAATTAAGCAGTAATTTACGCGACGGCCACAACGCCGGGTTAATGATGCGAGGAGCTATGGCCGGGACGAAAGAGAAGGGGGAGGGGAAGGTCACGAGGCAACTTCAGGATAAATTCTCAACCGCCTTTTGCCCTCCGTCCATAAAAACGGGCGTGTGTTAATTGCACTATCGACGACGCGGGCCATATTGTGGATAACGGACCTAGGTTCTGACGACCACGCCTGTCAGGAGAGCATTTAAAGACGGTCCGAGGTATTTCATTGCTCTGCATAATAAGCAAGGAGTCTCTTAACCATTTTTAAGGTAATTTATCACCTATTTTTTGTTATCTTTTGAATTTTTCTCTTAAAGGAACTTCAGGAAAGTACGGACAAACCAATAACTAGTCGCGTCGAGAGCTCAAAACACCGACAATGCGGCTGATGAAGAAGAGGCTAATGCCAATCCAGCAGTGGACGATGGTGAACTTACGGCAGATGTGATGGAAGTGTTGTATCATGCATGCCAAACAACGCAGGACTTGCCGACAAGGCTTAATGCAGATACTACTCTTAAAGTCTTGACACCGGATAGCCGCATGAGTTTTTTGCTCAGAAAAATTACTGCTTTTGGCCATCGTAAGCACCTAACACAATTGTAATAAACAGTGGCAGAAACTAAAGTAAGTAATGATGAGGTGGTTCAGAATTACGCACTTAAGATGATTTCTCAGCGTCCGTCTTGGGTAAGCTAACAAAGGTGCGGAAAACTTCCTCCACAATCCAGATTAACGAGCTTCCTCACAGTAAGTCCTATTGCGGACCACAAGAGGTGAAGTGAAAGCGCGGATTATGGCATGTGACAGGTGGCACGCACAGCAAGACGTGTGGCCTGAGGGGGCACAGAGGGAAGGCGAGGCGTGGAGAGAACCTAGTCATCTCGGGCATAATCCATGAGGTGAAATGGACAGGGCCAGCCATGATCCAACCTGACCTCTCAAAATGTTAAAACGGTATGTACGTGCCCATTTTCAAAGCCCCAGTGGGTGGGCTACATATATATACCTCCCGCTTCCATGATTCAGGAGTCTTGAAGACGACTTTTGTACGGACATAATCATGGCATCCTGGGTATCCTGCCTGCAAGTTTCTTCGGTTCTTCGTAAGCACGGACGCACCAAATCTTATGTGCGGCGTAAATACTGGCTATGAAGGTCCAGTTTATTCATCTGTCAAGGTTAAATTGGTTTGGAATTAGGTATATCTTCTCCAATGTCCAATTAGTTTATTACTTTTTACAGCCCAGTATCGTACATCGCCCGCTCCTTCTCAGCTCGCGTGCATAAAAGTCTCGAAGTCGCCATACTCTAAGGGTTCGGAAGAAAAACAACTATATTTAAAACTAATTTCCATCGGTTAGGCTAACAAATGATGTATTCTGGATAAAAATGGCAGTCATGATGCACAGTACCAACTGTCACGATTTCTATGCGGACAAGTCGCACTCAATTAGTGACTTTAAAATTGATTGCTGAGGAATGCCCTCCCAAGTGTCTAGGATGTTAGGCCTTGTAAAAAGATCCCACATACATGACTACAGTTGTTCAAATAGCAACTGAAAGATAAATTCTGACAGGAGACAGTGGAATAAGGGGAATGGTGAGAAGAGTGGTTGATTAAGCCTGGGTAAAGGATACAGTTGCCCCCACACATTCCAGCCTCGAGGCGCACTAATCCCACAAACGACGACGACGCTGAGAGAACACAGTGAGTCATATCACATCGGTTGCAGTCGCATTCCCAGACGAGTATTTGCGTGTGTGGGTGTAGCGTCGTTGACGTTGATGTACTGAGGAGATTAAAGCCACCCCCTCCCATTCCACAGCCCCTCGTTCCCCCATCACCACCATCACTCAGAGGCAGCAATGTAAACGTTCAAAGTTGGTGAGCTTAAGTAGAATGCAAGGGACTTTAAATAGCAACTCAAGTGGCGTCGCAGTGCATAAAACCGCTACAATCTAACCACTGATAAAGCTTATTTTTGTACACTCCCTCTTCGTCGGTTGTTGAGTCAAAAAAAAGACCATCATCGACAGCCGCATTCACCTAGTGCGTGTGCCACAAAATGTGTCCCTCTTGTGTTGAAATTTTTGAAATTTTCACGAAAAAACTGCAATCATTTTTTGAAGCATTTGACCTTTATGCAATGGCACAAGTGAATGCCTTATTTTCAAACAAATGAAGATGTAGTAGGCCATGGAGGTGGTTGAACGACCACCCCTTATTCTATCAACTGGACTAAAATGTCAAGTTTCATAACACTGAAGTGGATTTTTTGGATTTGGCTGTGAAGCTATTTTGTTGGTGGCCCCGAAATTGGAAACCCACTGACTGCGCCAGGGAGGATAAAGGAGAGGCAAGATTTTGACCCGAAAGTGATGTACACCTTGAACGAATTCCAGTGGCCCAACAGGATTCGGATCGGAGGTGGACGCAAAAGGCTCGGCTTCGCACAGAAAAAAAGTGGCATTAGGAAGTTAAAAAGTAAACAAGAATGATCACAGGATTCTTTTTTTAGATGCTAGAAGAATGACACGTGGAGCGGAGAATGTGATAGGGACTAGGGGTTCATCATGACAGACGTACATTGACGACCGCCAGAGGTGTCGGGACATCCACTGAGGCAAGTTCTACCCCAGCTTAGCAATAATAAGCATTGGTGGAGAGTAGGTTTTGAATTATACAAATTTTTGGTTGGAATACGCCTAGGCACCAACGAGAACATCAAAGAATGTCACGTTTACGGTTGATGGCAAAATCTGTGCTGATCGGAGTTTATTTATGAAGGACTGTAGGAAGACTAGTTAAATCCACCATTTGTAAACAAATGGTGGATTTATAAATGTCCATTATTCAATGTCGGTAGCTGAAGTGTTTGAATCTTCGGAGAGATTTGGAAATTTTACGAGCAAATGCATGCGTACACGCATACCAAGAATGTGGCATACTCACATGAGTTAAATGCAATCTCGGAGAGAATGATCCAATCCCTGTCGAAGGTGAGAACGACCCTCACGAACCGACCCACTCGCCCTTGCAACGGAATGACCACCCAAGTGGGCTGGGTGGAGGAGATGTTCCGTGGATGCGAGTGTAAAACGGGCGAAGCGTAGCGGTCAAAGTGCTTACCGCCTACGCTAAACTGGACCAGCGCCTGTTTGAACACCGCGACGTTCTCCGCAAACGAGTTTAGGGCATGGATCCGCAACTCCGAGAAATGGCGAACTGAAAGGCAAGACCGATGACTCCTTCATACGGTTCCGCAGCTTATTATGCAGAATTTCCGTATAGGTAAATTTATCTTGAAAGTATGCTATTTATGATCAGGGTCCGCTAAACGCGTAGATATGATTGGTTAAGCACTTCCAAAGAGGCTAAAACTCAAGCTATTTCAAAAGCTGGTTATTGTTTGCATCGTAAAAATGTGTGGAAGCCCAGCCTTTCTACCCACCAATAGAACACAAAAGAACTGCAAGAGATTATGAATGGGTAGTCTCCTTTAGAGACGCTGTCGTTCCCCAATCCAGGATGATGCCGAGGGGAGCAACAGTCCACTTTGAGGTCAAAAGGGTTATCATTATTCCCCCAATCACCTACCGACGGTGGTTTTCAAGCAGACTTCCTGATGGCATCGATTAGTGGTATGGGCCTACAGCCAAAATTCCCGCAAAACTCACTTGCAAAACGAAAAATGTCTTTGTCTGCGCCGCATTCTTATAGACGTTACCACGACACATGATAACAATGCTGTTAAGTTGGCCTTGAAGGTATTTAAATAACCTCGATAGCACCGAACTTGAGGGATTGAAGACTTCATGCATCATAAAATCAAAGTTAGCGTTTTCACCTTCGATGACTCAGCAAGATTGTCATTATTTAATGTAGCTTGCTTATTCCTGCAACAAATTCCCTCCCTTTAAATGAAGTCTCACTGAAGGAACAGGTGCCTGAAATAGAAGGTCGACTCATATTGACGGAAGCCCCCGTATCGCTGTAAACCGCATTGACACAGTCTACCAGGTGAAAAATCTCTACTGCGGTCTGGAACCACGGGGCCATACTTCAATCGCCCATGTGAAGAGTAGTGCTTTCGCAAACGAACTCCGCCTTTGTGATTGGCGAGGAGGATGAGGCGAGCATCTGTGTCAATATAGCACGCCCGTCTGTTGAGTCGGCTCTCTTTTGCCACCATCGTAGCCACCTTCTCTCGCAAACACAAGCCCGAGTAAACTAAGTGGGGATGACTCATGACCAGTCGTTGAGGCAAGGGGATTCGTCATGCTGGGGAAGAGTTTGTGATGCTTACCATGGTCCCAAATGAGCAACCCCCACGGTGAGAGATGAGAGCGCGGCTTGTCATCAGAGAGGAGAAAGCGCTAAAGCCCGTATACAACTTACAGGTTCGCCCAATCAGAGTTGGACAAGAGTACTCCCCACACAACAGTAGGCAAAGGATGAAGAAAGGATTGTAGATACCACCGCCTACGGCTTGCAATATTAATGCTATCAGCAGCCATATTTACAGTTTGTTGGAATAAACTAAATTCACACAAATTTCTAGCGCATTTTCAAGATTATTACGGCTATGCTTCGTTTGTCATAGATTCCACTCCAATCAACAGCCATTTCCGGGTAATGGAACTTTCCACACCTACAAGTTCCCTCAAAAAAGATGAAGGAACAAAGCCTTTTATACCCAGTAAACAGTTTAGAGCGGCAGCGGCAAAAGACCGTACAGCCATCCAACTCATTCCACAGGAACGAGGCCTCGTTAATGAGCGAAGGATACTGTTAGCTGAAGGGTTCAAAGCCCACAGTGCCTCGGATTGATGGTAAGTACTAACAACGGACCCCTTGGAGCTTAAAAAGCGCACAGGTTGCACAGATTGAGTGAACAAATACACCCCTAAGGGAATATGACACTGCAAACGAATGAAACTGTTAGAGTAGTCTACTTAGGTCTATTTATCCTAGCCGCTCGACCCCTAATTGTCATATTTACCAAGGTCTCATCAATCAAAACGACATGGAACTAGTCTGAAGCTAACTCCAACCATGAGGTGCCCACTGATATTATGCAGAGCTTGATAATCAAGACTACGGAGAATAAAAAGTGAGAAGAGTGAATCAACTGAATAATTTAGACGGTGGACAACGTCCTCGTCTCCAGCCTGACACTTGGGCAAGTGAGACTGTGATGGACGGAAAAACCCATGTTGACCAACATTTACAGCACCTTGGACGGGAAATTGGATTTGGAGTGGCAGTGGCCTATCACGAATTGGAAAGCCCCTAACATATGCATGGGACATGTCAAAGCCTGGCTTGAAGGTCACCAACTGCATCCCGGTGTAACACAAACGCTCATTCATCTCCAGATGTAGCAAAATCATTCAATTTGGTCCAATTGCGCCTATGCTTGGTATCCTCTATGGTTAGTTGCAAAAAACTCACCAGATTGGAAAGTGAACAATAGGGTGACATTGCGTGACTGGCAAGGTGGAGAGAGAGGCGAAAGAGGTAGACCCGATCGACAGAACCAGCCTACCAGACCGCTAAGCGTCTGATGGCTATCCCATTGCATGCTACGCACTGAATAGGGTGCCTCTAAGGCGTTTCGAATCTCGCCGCCGGAGTAGATACGTCGGTCCACTAGAACACCCAAACCATCGGACAGGTGATATCGCTGATCTCCACTGGAAGAGCCGCGCTTGGGAAGACGAAATCCATCGTAGGAGGAGTCATTTAGAGCAGCCCATGTTGGACCTCCACGAGGGCTTTGGTAAACGTCGCCTTCTGGGATCTCATAGTATAAGAGAGACGCTGAAAGGTGGAGGAAAACAATGTACACCATCTCAAAGCTGGACTTGGTCCCAGGAGCACAAGACTCACAATCAAAGGCATGTCCCAGGACTGAGAGTTTCAGACACATTGATTGAGAATAGTCACTTCGGTAAGGTATTATACGAAGACGTTGGGCAGTTATGGGAGGTGAGAGAGGTATCGTCTTTGGTTGAGTGTTGTCTTGGTTTGCCACAATGAGCTAAGAGAAACATAAGGACTGATTAGTATCCGATCGACCAAGTTGCTGTACCGTCGAGATTAGCAGTGCTTTTTAAGGCATGCTCATTTGAATTGCACAATTGAGAGAAAAAGGGAACTATGAGATGGTGAAAAATGAGGTGACAGCAACTTCGGTCATCCGCTTGAAAATTCTACTGCAATTGGTGGTACCAAATCCCACGCGAGTCACATTAACCGTGTCGCTGCAGTGCACAGGCAAACGTGTGGCACTGCAGCTGGTAGGAAGAACATGAAAAGGTTGATTTGAAATTTCAGTTTGCAAAAGGCCAAAAATTGTGACGATTCCACACCGTGTGTAGCAATACTTCTAGATGAAACTAAGGCTTAAAGTGGAAAAGTGCAGGCGGACATGATAAAAATGACATTGGGGAAAGAGACGCAAGGCATGCGCGACATTTGAAGCGCTTACCTTCGAGGATTGTGTTTACATTATGCACCGCTCATTCACCTTTCTCCATTCTCTCTGTCTCTCCCAACCTCTCTCGCTCTCATGGGTATGAGTTTTTGATGAAATTCACGACCACACTAGTGTTTTTTTTGTTCTCTAACGTGCGACACTCGTCTCGATTCACAAATTTCGTACATCTGCAAGTGACAGGTGTGCTTGTGTGTCCGTACATGTTTACGTGCCTCGGTCCATATCCAATTTCCTCACTCCCTCTCCTCCACCGCCACTCTCTTCTCCATATGACTCACATCCCCACCCAGTAACCCACCTTCCCCCCCCCCAAATGGGCCACGCGAAAGGTGAACAAAGCAGGCACACACACGTCAGCGTCGGAGAGGAAGTGCAGACACTGCGTGTGCGCGTGAAGTGTACACACCAGCTGTCACAGTCTCAACGACGCTACTTAACCGATCACCACCAGAAACGTGAAAACGAGATCGTTTTTCCCCATTTATGGAAGAAATTTTCTGACCCCTGTAAGTAATCACAGTTTTATGGCGCAAAATCTATACTGCCAGAGAAGAGTGTCAGCAGGTCCTCCAGTCATAACGCAAAAAAGGCAACGTTATGTCTGAATTACTCAGTCTATCTAGGCAGAAAAAAAAAGCATACACCAAAGTGGAGCACGAAACTTCGGCGTCTTTTAGCATTAGGTGAGTAACCAGCCAAACAGATATTAATACGGATGTTTGTGTTCTGTAGCGAAGGTAGGAGGTGAAGTGGTGATGGAGGGAACGAGGGACGAGGTAGGAAGAAAGGAGTCTCCTTCCGGTTGGGCAATTCGGTCATCACTCCCTCAGAAGTTGTGTGCGAGACGCACACACGCACGGGTGCGCACCCACGTCCTTAAGCGTAGTTGAGTGGGCAAGGCGGAGATGAATTAGCGGCGCCACAACAGACAGCATCTTAAGAACGCGTTTAAATAAGCCGCTATACTGAAACGAGGCGCGAGAATAAGCTATAATGCAGCGCCGCGATGCACATTTTGAAATCTTACTCTTGACAGAGCAACGCTTCAAGAGGTATGGGGATAGTTATGGGAGGCGAGGCCTTTGGGGTTAGGTCAAGTAACTCCCCTGATTAAATGGGATCAATCTTATCGTCGCAAGCAATTAGAACTTCAAAATTATGGGGAAAAGTTGAGATAGGAGTTTTAAAACCTTAGAGATGCCCCATTGTCGAATAGCTTCAATGACTAACGCCAATCATGACCAATGAATGCAAACAATACAACAGGCACAATTATCTGCGACCAAATAGGCTTGAGAGATCAAGATTGCGACGTTAACAATTGCATCTAAGGCTACAAATAACCAACGGGAACACACAGGAGGACCAGGATTTGACACACACACAACACACACATTAGCAGAATTTTTGCCTACCGATTAAAAGAGGCATGCGAGTGAATTCCAGCCTAACGGATGTACCAGGGAGGCGGAATTACTTCCAAAAACATTCCACGTAGTTAATTTACGTGGGGAGGGGAAGGAAGCCTGAGAGAGATTTTGAATCGCTTGACTGTAAAACAGGAAGTGGTTGCCTTTCCGGACGGTGGAATATTTTCAAATCACGTTTCCTGGGATCTAACTATCCAAACCGCCACAATGGTGTTCTAAGAAGAATGTCTACGAATGCTGTATGAGAGTATGGTTTATATCGGATGGCATCGAATGGGAGTTACTTGATTGCGTGTCCACCCCCAAGGTGTCCCACTTGTTAATCGTGCAGTTAATTAATAAGACCCATTCTTTTATTAAAGTTTAGGACTGTAGATCTATTGTTCTTGTTACACTTCCAGATTCAGATGTATAGAATCTCGACTCACACAGGGCCTAAACCTTTTTACCACTTCGAGGAGTATTTGATTTAGGAAACAAATATTTCTACACGAAAAAGGGACCAACATCAACAAAAGCCCGGAACCCTCGAAACCTTCTCAGACAAACGTAGATGGATTGAGCGATACTTTCGGCTTTTTGGGAAAAAAGGGAACGAAATGAAAACATCGATTGTGTGATCACGTGACATGACTATTGTCAGCCTTGCATGAGAGCTCAAACAACATTTGGAGCTGTTCTGGAGTTTAAAGTTGAGGATGAGCAAGTTAAGGGGAGTAGTAATTCAAAAGAATAAAATTTCACACCATGATATCATGAAGCTAACAGACGGGGATGACTATCTCCGCTAAACGACTTTAAATTCACAACGAGTTCTTATTCCCATAGGACAGCGCTACCAAATTTGATCGAGAGTAATGAAATTAGTTCAAACATGTGCGTAACAAAGGGCAATGGAGCTCCCCTAATCCTCCTCGAATTCCTTAAACGTGATTGGCTGATAGGGCAGGCCGAGATATCCTAAGGTTGCATCCTTCCGCCTTCGAAATGCTTGTGGTGGAGGTCAGCCATTATTCCAGAGAAAACACAGAACTCCAGTTTTGGGAGAAGAAATAAAAAAACAAGGAACTCACTTTTGTTCCGTTGTGTGATATGAAGTCGTGCCAACGTCCATCACCGCGCTCATAGCGAAGGAGGAAGTAGGGCACAAAGTGATCCTGCGGGATAAAAAATAAAGAACATTCGCTGGAGTAGTGTGTGAACCATTGATCCCTTCGTTTGCCAAGCTGTCTCAGCCCTACTTTGCATGGAAGATATATCGTCCCAAGGGTATCAGTCTCCGCGGTCGTCTCCACAAACTTCGTGTGGAGCGCTTTGAGGATGGGATGATGTTCTCCGCCACGCTCTGTGTATACCTGGTTCTCGCATGAATAGCGCTTTTTATACTCAAAAAATAAATAAGAATTTATATTTTGGAGACGCGGAGATAATTGAGGGGCCATTGTCATCTCTTCGGCGGGGTGCATGATTTAGTCTGGCTCCGGAACTGGGACGGCGCTTTGTTATATAAACTGGCCGAAAGCGAATTTTCCGTGAGAACGGAACGGTATGCAATAAAAAAAAGACCAGTAAACGACCCCATTCGTAAGCGCTTTTTATGACAGAAACTCTCAGCCCGTATGGGTTAGCACTGTAGTAACCTGAGGGTCAAGCAAGTTGTGCTTTCTCATCTTTGCCTCAAAGCCCTTAGTACCTTCATGTCACACCCTCGGTGTATTCAAAGACTGGCCAACCAGAATTTTCACTCAAGCGGGTCAACAAACCTGGTACTGAGATTCACCATTCGATTGATATTCTAAAGATGGAATCTAGTCTACCACCCCAAAAGCGGAGGGGCTGCACCGAAACTTCGCGGAATACTTTACCGAGAACAGGCAATGTTTCTACATAGTGAAAAATTAATTAAGGAGGAAGATGGGGAAGGGATTCGAGGAAATTACTGAATAGGTGACAAATAGCAGCAGTGATTCAGCACAATGAAACATGCTTGCTGTGTGTGTTCCTCCATAAAAAATGAATTCGAGTGCTGGTTAGGGCCTCTCGCCCAAATGTCACACAGGAGGTATGGAACAAAAACGAGTCACTCTCAGGGCGGTCGTTTTGAAATTAATTGCCAGATGAATACGAGAAATGATTTTAAAAAGGTCAAGAAAACGATTTTAATGATTTAGAGGGCACTCCTCCCCGCCACCCTCATTCTTCGGTAGTGCAGGACGGACGGACAAAGGTGGGGGTACAAAGGTGACCTCTTGCTCCTCTACTCGAAGAGCTTGAAGCTGTGTAGCCCTTAATCGAGGTAGCCAGCTGAAATATACAAACCTTGATGTAACACTAACAATTAAATGAGTAAATAACTTTAACAGTCAGCAAAAAGATGCAAGCAGTAGAAAGAGAAGACCCCTGCAAAAAAAGGAACATTATGCCTTCAACAAAATGAAAACTATAGTCAAACATTAAGCGTTGGATAGTTTTCAAAATTCGCATAGATTTAAGATGATTTGAATGGCCGTCCAACTGAAGTTAAAGCTATTAGGGCACAACAATCATAAAGACTATGTAATATCCAACACGAGTGAGGACTATTGTGTCTTTAGTGTCCTAATAAGTGGAAAGAGAACGGCACAAAGACATGAGACGATACTCGAATGAGAGATAACTAAGGCGATAGTAAAGAACGGCAAAATAAACTGCAGAGGACGCAATAAACTGCTTGTTCAAATCGTCGTGACGGGAAATACAAGGGAAAAAAGTGGTTCCCATGTCGCTAAAAGTTGTCAGAAAAGTTGAATTCCGCCGCGTTTGAAGTAAGAGACTGCAGCCAGTCAACTAGTTGCAACAACTTTCGCCAACTGTTTAGAGCCGATCAGGTATAAAGGGCGAAGAGAGGTGGACATTGCGATAGAGGGATGGTCCCATCTCTTATTCCCCCACTCTCCCATCCCACGTGCCCCAGCTCCCCCCCATCCCCTTCCTCTTTCCGCCTCCTTGATGACTTAACTAGGCTGCGTCTCGTGTGTCGGCGTAGGTAAGGTATTGGGATGGTGAAGTGAGGAAGATACTCGCCCACCCTACAGTCGGTGTGGGGGTTAAATCCTGTCAGTTTGCCAAGGCATTTATCCATCGACGTCCAGTTTACACATGTAAAAAGATGTATTGCCGATAAATCGTGTACAAACGTGTGAGAAACATGCGTCATCTCAAACACATAAGCGCACGTTTGCGCACACACACATGGACAGGACCATACACCACCACGCTTGAGCTCCTGCCTTCGGATACATCTGATGAGGGGGTCGAATGCGTGGCCAAGTCGTGTGTTTGCGTAGGGTAGCCAAATCAAACAGTCCCCATGGCTATTAATCAACCACTCATTACTGAATGCATCTACGACACTCCATTAGAACTCAAAGCGTCCAGATTCTGCCTTTACCTTGAATCTAGCGCTTCTTAAATGCCTTCAAAGTGCTTCCGAACCCGGATATACTTTTCTTTCATATTGCTTTCAAAAGCGGGATTGCTGATATATTTGAATAAACTACCTAGAGTACAAAACAATCCAGAATTTTGATTAATGAGCTTGCTTTCCCTTCAATTGCTCCAAGCACTTTGGCCCTTCCCCCCTTGCAGTCATGACCAGGAAACGGCGGAGACTAATGGCTTTGAACTTTGAAGTATACACTGCGTTCCTTTCAGTTAAAATTTTGGTGTTCCGACGTGGACACGGGGCGCCTACTCGCCTGTGGCAAAACAATCAACATAAAATTTCAGGTCCACTCGCAACTTATGTAAACGCTTTGCCTAAGAGCAAGAGCGCATGTCCGTCCAGCTTCAGGGATTTGCAGGTGGGGGCTGAAGGGTTTTTCTGCCACGACTCGGACCACTGATTTTGACGGCTGTTTGCCCATTCGCCATCCCAACTCCGTCAAAAAAGCTGTCAAAAGAGTAGGTAGCAGACTCTTATCGGAAGTTAACGCAACAAGTTTGAATGCACCCTAGAGTACTCATTTTACTTGCCGAAGTGAATTTGAGTCGACGACTCATT